AAGCATTGGAACTCATATATTAAATGGAGTTGTTGTTATTAACCCCCGAAATTGAAGTTGATTGAGACATGTCAACCATTCATCTTTTCAATCAAAACTATATACTAATCAAAATAATAATATGCATTATTATGCGATATGCTGATAGAAATGTATTGGAAAGCATCTTATAAATAAGACCAAACAGAATAGACGACAGTCACTTAATCAAAACAGCCAGATCAAAGTAGTCTTTTCATTTAGATAACAATATATTTGTAGTTTTGTACAATATATAGAAATAGAATAGTTTGTCCACCGTCTGTCACAAAAGACAAGACTCACAAGAGGTGTCAAAAAACTGATTTGAACCAATTAAACTCAACCCAACCTAAAAGTGATCTGATTTAAAAATTTGATCTGTAAAGTAATCGCAATATTTTGACCGGCACACATACCAATTCACAACTTTGACCATTATGTAATTATATATTATTAAAAAGTATAAGAGGTTGATATAATGAAAATATAGTTAAAGACTAAATATATGTTATTTTATATATTGGTAAAATATATAGTCAAAATAAGTAAATTAATAGTGCAAAACTCAAAGTGTTGCGATTATTATGTATTGGAACAAAGTTGTTTTAAAGTGTGAATTTTGTGAAAATGGTAAAGTCCCACATTGGTGGAAATTGAAAGCTTTGCTTAGTTTATATAGGAGGGTGTCACCTAAAGGGGTGTGGCCCTTGGGCTACCTACATTTTGTAGAGAGGAAGGACTTACCTACCAAACCAATCTAACACTCACACGCGCCAAACCAAGCCGGATTGGATTGGATTTCTTTAACGGGTTTAAATTTTTTGAACAAGAATTAATTCCTTGATTTTGTAACTGATTTACTAATTAATTTTTTAACCGTTACGTTTTCAATTTTGCCCGTTTTTGACTGTTGTGTAACGGTTAATTAACGTGATTTTAGCCCTTAATTAAGTCCATTATTTGCTTTAATCTGTCCGTTAATTGCTTGCTGAAACCGTCCAGGTACATTCTGCTACCCTCTATAAATTGATGGTTTTTCCTTCATGGTTTTACACACAACAAAAAAAAAACAGAACACCAATTTTCAGAATACCGTATTACAGAAAAAAAACCACTTACAGTTTATATTTTCAGAAATCTTTTTCCAGAAATTATTGGAGCATTGTTCCTAATTTTGGTGTTTAGTTGTTCGGTGGTTCTGTGCAAATCCATCGGTATAATTTTCTTTCCCGAGAGACTGTTTTATCCTGGGGAGCATCCGGTTGTCGTACGAGCTGCTTGCACAAATTAAAGGCAGTACCGTGAATGTTCTAAAGAGAGCGACATAGTCCGCGATTCAGTCTTATTCCGGTAATATTGTTCTGTTTTATTGTTTACAGCAGTTCAGTTTTTAACATTATGAAATAAAAGGAGTAATATTTGAGAATGACTCAAATTCAACTACCTCAACCCAAATTGAAAACTATTTGTAATGCATTTGGTATCTTTATCATCTTGAACGTGCTAGTCAATGACATTCGTCAATTATTAATATTTTAATAAAATCTTAAAGTTTGGGTTTTTGAAGTTCCTAAGATAAAATGACTTCTTTGGAATAACACGTTGTAATGCTGTATAGGACCGTCGGAGACGATGAGACAAGCAATAGTTGACTCTATCAGAGTCATGACTACTCCGTAGTTGTGATCTGTAGTTATATTATTCCACTAGTTGTTTTGTCCTATGAATATGAATATATGACAGTTAAATAGAATGGCTTTTATTAGTGATCAATAGGTAGAGTATTTATATAAAATGTAAGATTATAAGATAGAAAATAATCTTCTTAAAATATATACTAACTTAACCATAAATCTAAGGAAAATATATCACACATATATTTTTCGATATTTATATTTCTAACACTTTCGTAATCGTAGCGGCAGTAACACGAACGTAGCAATTAAAAATTCTTCACTTTGTTGAAGTCGAGATGCACTAATTTGGTGATGTCGCCTTCAATTGTTTTTTTCTTTTTTTTTTAATTTTTGAATGATGAGAACGTTCGGCTTTTCGAACCCATCAATCATCAAACGAACGCCATTCTTTTCGAACCTGCAAAAATTTTGGTTTTTCCTAAGCAAAACCGAGCTCTAATTAAATATTGGTTTTTCAGAACAAACCACACTCAAATCCAAAGGAGCAGAATCATGCTTGAATCAAATCACACGGCACAAGGAGAACCACCAAATAAACCTTGTCTCAGGACATAAAGGGAAGCAATATATCTTGTCTCACGACACAAGAGAGCCGATTTTTTTTTATTTTTTTAAAATAAAAACTCAAAGGTCAAATCTTAGACCCTTTGTTTTCACCTCATCAACAACACAAACTCATCACAAGCAACTCAATCCTAAAGAACGACAAAAGCCGCGCATGATACAATTACATCAAGTCATCACCAACTAACATTATCAAATATCCTCAAGGAGCATTCACTTGCGGAAGTATTAAAAAAAAAATTATATTTTTGGCTAAAGATTTATCCCACTGGTGTTTTAACCTGCTCTTGATATCATGACAAATTTAAAAGGAAAGAGAGAATAAAATGGCCTGTTTATTAGGGATCAATAGATATAGTATTTATACAAAATCTAAGCTCATATAGGAAACAATGTTCCTAAAAGATATACTAGTCTAACCATAAATCTTAAAGATATATTCACTAAATAATATCTTAACATAAAATAATTTTAAATATATATTATTCTCTTAATGATATCTATGGAAAATATATCACATATATTTTCCGATATCTATATCTACGGAAAATGGACTTCTTTCATGCTTATATATTCATTATTCAGTTTAATGTTAATAAAAAGAGTACTCTTATAAGATTGAAAAGCCGTACTCCATATATATGATCTAATTTTAATTCCTTTTTACCAAGTATGTTTTGGTTTTATGGAAAAGTTTGTATGGAGAATCTCCCAAAGGGCCAACCTACTGGGTCGGGTTCTTCCGTGAGAGATTAACTCGCGAGGACAAAAATAAGGGAAGTACTCCGTAATTATTTTTAGAAGAAAAAAATTGTAGTTTTTTTAAGGTAAGAAAAAAATATTAAAATATTTAGAACATCCTACTCACCGGTGAAACTCCTATACGAACTAAAAAAGTAGTTCCAGCATGGATTAGATAATTAAATGCTAAAATATTTAAAATTGAGAAGAAAACAATTTATTACGTTTTTAGTATAACTACATGTATTTTATTACTTAGATTAACCGTGAATAATCCTTACCGTTGACTAACTATTTTCCATTTTAAAATTTGATTTTTTTTGTTTGAAATTTAATTTAGTTTGTCCTTGTATAACGGAGTTTTTTGTTTTTATTTTTATTTTAATTTCAGACAAATTTCTTCTTGGTATTTAATTGGCAAATTGATCATAGACAATACGAGTATATTATTATCAATAAAATTAATAATCAAGAAAATTATCACTGTTGAATTTAAAGTATTACTCCGTACTACTGAGACATGAGGGGGTTAGCCATAACGTATTAAATTATGCAAAGCTGTATCATGTTCAGACGGCCCCATACTATAAATACCCTCTTCCGCAGGAGATCTCATAATCAACATCAACATTCCAAAGCCTCAAAATTTTAACCCCAAAAAAAGCAGTTGGAAATTAAAAAACATCTATCATGCCATCTTCATCATCAATTGGGAAGCCCATTGTTTGCAAAGGTATGTAAACTCATACCAAAATATCATTCTCAAAATAATATATGAACTATTACTAATCAAATAATAAATGTTCAGTTTATAGCTAATTAAATTAATCTCGTCGTTTATGGTTGTGGTTGTTTGAAACGACGCAGCTGCGGTAGCCAGGGAAGCAGGGACGCCGTTAGTGATAGAGGAAGTGACAGTTGCAGCACCAAAATCAAATGAAGTTCGCATTAAAATTCTGTGTACTTCGCTTTGTCACAGCGATCTTACCTTATGGAGCTTGAAAGTATATATTATTTCCTACTTCCCATTGTTTTATGATTTAAATTTTTTTGTTATCGCATTTCAATTATGTACCGAAGGTAGACGTATACTAAGCGTTGACTTAACATTGGTAACACTAAGCGTTAACTAAACATTAATAACACCGATCGATTATATATCTATTGTGATTATATTGCTGATTATGTGATTTTATTTATTTTGAAGGATCCTCCTAGATTTTTTCCAAGAATTTTAGGTCATGAAGCTGTTGGGTAATTTTCTTCACCTTTCTTCTGTTCATTCATTATTTGCCATTAATATTTCCTACATTTCTTTGATTTTACCTTATTTTGTTTTTTGGGATGGTCACATGGATGGGGGTGGAGAAGAAGAAAGAGGGGTGTATGGAGAAAAAAGGTCATTTTCTTCTAAAATTATACAGTAAAATTCTGATCACTTGAATATGAACATGCAAGGAGAGAATAAGTGGTAATTTATGGTTTTTAAAAATAAATAAATAAAGTGGTAATTTATGGTAAGTCATATGAATTTTATGTTTGACCGCATCTACTGGTCTTGGTTAGTAAGGGTAAAGTCACATGTTTCATCTATACGGAGTTCTTTTTGCTACTACCGTACTACATCAGTGACGAATTCATGATTTCTAATTAGAGGTAGCATAGAACAATTAAAATAAAATAGAATGAGTTACTATAATATATATTATACTACGGACGTTTTTCCAAAGTGAGCCAATTTTGGCAAATATTAACCAAAATGGTTGCGTGGTAAAAGTATTTACCAAATTAAGCTTCCAGGCTAAAACGCTGTCTCGGTCAGCGTTTTATGCCTGGTTTTTTTTTAAAAAAAAAATCAACCTAAAAACGCTGTCTGGGACAGCGTCTTTGTTGTTGACCTTTTTTTAAAAAAAAATTTGTAATTGCCTTTTATTTATAAAAATGTTTTTAAAAAACAAAAACAGTTATACCAAAGACGCTGTCCCAGACAGCGCTTTATGTACAAACTTCCTTGTACCTAAAACGCTGTCTCGGACAGCGTCTTATTTTCAACCTAAAACGTTGTCTGGGACAGCGTTTCTCTGCTGGTGTGCAAAACAGCAGCAGAATCAGCCTTTTGCCACTGATCTGCCACTTTCTTCTGCCCCCACCCACCACCCCCTGCCATGATTCTTGCCACCACAATCCACCAACAACCCCCACCATCGACCACCATCTGCCACCACTTTTGACCTCCAACAACACTTCAACCAGCTCCACCACCAACCCCAACCATTCAACAACCGTCGATAACCACCCACCACAACCAACAACACTAAAACCACCATGAACAACCACATTAACCACCACGGGCCATCCTTTCTTCCCCATTTTCGACTATGGATTCCAAATGTCTGTTGTTTAATGTACATTAGCCCTGAAGGATCTATTTTGACTGACATAAATCCGATTTGGATAAATAAGCAAACAAAACTTCAAAACACAAACAGATTCATTCAACCAGCATGTCTTATATTGATAATGCAATCGTTATATACAGCATTCCAGGAAAAAGGACAAAACAATGATACAATACGTTCACTACTCATCAATTTGGTGTAACCCTTCCCTAGCCTCACTGTCGTCCCTTCGTCTTGGACGACGCCGAGTGTAATGGTGAATGGTGGTGAATGGGTTTCGGCGCGGGGGGGGGGGGAGTGAGCTGGCTGGACGATGCGTCCTCCTGGGTTCTGAAGGGTGCAGAACTGTGGAAGATGTACTCCTCTGCCTCTGTGTGCGACGTAGGATCACCTCCACTGCTACTCTGGCCGGGGTCGAACCGCGAATGGATGGAGTGACCATCATCACCGTCCCGCTGTTGGATGAGATGACCGTGACCATGTCTGCGTAAGGAAGTCGCGGACATATCTCGCATCCGCTGGACCTGGGCTCTGGTGGGTCCGTCTGTAAGGGCGAGGGACAATGCATCATACATCGCCACCATATCCGCCGCCTGTAGTAATCATCGATCAGTCAAGTACATGATATTTAAAAAAGTTAAAAAATGTGGATGATAAGTATAGTAAAAGAAACTCACATATCCGCTAATGACGTCATGTGCCGGGTGGTAATGGGTGGACGGTGGTGTGTAGCTGGGGTTAATGAAACGGCGTGTGATAAGCCTATACCACACCATGTACGGATCGTCATGATCCATAACGCCCTGCATGGGATAACCCTGAGCGACATGACCCAACCGCTGCTCCCATAGCTGAAGATACTGCCAATGCTCCAGTGCCTAGTTTGTCTCCGTCTTTCCCCGACGGTCAATGTCGTGAAGGCGCACGACAATGTCATAGTTCTGGGGAATAGGCTGCTGCAGTCCGAACTGTCGCATGACGCGGTCAGGTAGGTGACTCTCCACAACCTCGAAACAGATCAGGGGGACCCGGGCACGCCACTCTCCCTGATGCTCCAGTAGATGTGCAGGCATGACATCTACCAACTCCGGTACATACGGATCCCATGTGATCTGCAATAACACATCCTAAATAAGTTAGTCCACAATCAGTATACACAGTACCTAAATGATTACAAATGTCTTCAGAGTTTGTACCTGATCCTCAGTGAGTCGATCAAGGGCGTCTCGGTAGTATGGGAGACCCGTCGCCGCATGTGCCTGTGTGAGTCTGGGGACCATCCACCTGGGGCAACAAATTTGGTAAGTATGTTTACAAAATGAAATCGTATATGGGAAAAAAAAATGACAATTGTTACAAACCTGCAACCGTAAGCCTCATCAGCTGCAGGGCGAGGCGGAGCGATGTACGGCTCATACTGGTCATCCTGGTCCTGCTGCCCCGGACGATGTACAGCAGGCCTACCTGGTCTTCCTACGTGGATGTGCTCCCAAGCCCATAGCTTCAAAACCAAAACACAAAACTATGTTAAATATGACATTAGGATCATTCATTGCTGCAATGATCCCAGGATGCCGATCAGAAATAACACAAAGGCCATCCCGTTGCGTGACACGATCTCGAATACAACCTAGGAACCAAGACCAGCTGGAAGTGTTTTCCCCTTCAACCACCGCAAATGCAATAGGAAATACTTGGAAGCTTGCATCAACACTCGTAGCAACCAACAGTGTTCCTTTATACTTCCCGTACAAGTGCGTCCCATCGATACAGATAACAGGCATACAATGTTTAAAGCCATTGATACAAGGACCGAAGGCCCAAAACACTCGTTCAAACACTTCCATGTTGTTGTAGTATACACCATCCACTAAAGCTTTGTGTTTCCATACGACACATGTTCCCGGGTTCGACCGTAGGAGTGCTTGCATGAAGTGGGGAAGTCTGCCATATGAACTCTCCCAATCCCCAAATATCTCAGCTATAGCTTTCTCCTTGGCATACCACGCTCGTCGATACGGGACATCGAAATGAAATTGCTTCGAGATCAGTTCCTGTATGAATTCCACTTTCAACGAAGGATCTTTCCGCACAAAGGACTTCACATATTCGGCTATTACGGACGAATCCAAGTGTGGGTGATCATTAGATAGTACTTCAATGATACATGTCTCCCGATGTGTGCCTTTGTACGTGACTATGGTAAAACCACGTGAGTGCTCACTCGATTTGGTACCCCGTAGCATCCAACCACATTTCTTCTTGCATCGCAGATGTAGGACACCATCATTTGAGGTCACTGTGGTGTAGAATTGATTCCTCTGAATAGAATACATCTTCACCATTTCTTGAAGCAGTTTCTTGCTCTCAAAGTACATTCCCTTCTCAAATTCTCCCCCGGGAACAAAAGAGGTGTGGCTACCCGATTCGGCCCAATACTGATCAACTTCATAGTTCTCGGGTACCTCACTGAACCAAGGTATGGGAGTTCTAACCAACGGCTGACCATCTTCCACCTGTGTAGGTTCATCATCCCCCTCTCCGTTCTCGTCCTCATCATCCATTTCCGCATACACATCATACACCGACAATTCATTATTCACAACATCATCAAAATGATTTGGCTCTTCTCGAAACGGTGAACCATCATCACCTTGCATAGGAGAGTAGCTATGCAATTGCATCGGCGAAGATGCCACGGTGTTCGATGACGACGGAGCAGGCTGGCCGAACACTGTCACGCGTCCCCCCGCATGTACTGGTGAAGCTATATGAGAACTAAAAGGCAAGTGAAATTGGTCGTCCTGCATCATTCGAGTGAAAGAACCCATCCCATATGCATTCGATGGAATGTGGTTTGCGGGCTCTTGGAAGGACGCGGTGTTGTAATCAGAGACATATGTAGCTTACTGTTCTGCCCGAGTACTTTGTTGGGTACATATAGGCACTGTTTCTACATATATCTCATTGGGAAAACCCTTCATTCCTACCATGCTCCTCAAACCTTTCAAATGTATGTTCGTAGAGACAGGTAACACTTGCACCCCATGACCAGTATCACACCTCATTTTAAGGTTCAGTTCAACAGTCATAGGGTTTGAACCAATACAACTGTGAACCTCATTCATCAGATCAATCACAGTCATGTTCGGTTCAAGTGTTATAAGGTCCATATTCCCTCCACTGTACTCCACATTTGATCCATTACACAAAATTTCACCTCCCCATCGACATAACAACGCTACATTTTGTCCAGCCATATTCTACATAACAACCAAAACACATTTTACGTAAAGCCGTTAAATCATCCCTAAATCACCACAATCAAACAAAAAAATTTTACATACTCTACAAATTAACTACTAAGAACCCCTAAATCACCATTATTACACAACAATGTAGGTAATTACAGTTGTTCAAAACCTAATAATTATCAACCATTGTCAACAATTTTCAACAAAACCAACAACAACAATTTAATATTATCCAAACTATTATCAACACTAACAATATCAACACTACCATTATCAACACTAACAATTCAACAATTACCAACACTAATAATTCAACAATACCAACACTAACAATTCAACATTTTTAACACTAACAACTCAACCTCATCAACATTTTAACCCAATTCCAAAAAAATTAGAAATCACCAACATAAACCCTAGAATTTAAAACACAAAGAAAGTTGAATGAATACCTATTTCAGGGTGAGGGGAGTGTATAGTGGGCTACATGGAGGGCGACGGTAGAGGTGACGGCGGGCGACGGTGGAGGTGGCGGCGCCAGCGGCGGTCTACACGGAGGAGCACAAGTATGAGAGAGAGGGGGATTAAGTTAGAGTTTGGGAAAGAAGGGGTTTGAGAATGAAGGAGGAGGAAATGAAATGAAATACGCTGTTGGAGGGAAAAAAAACGACAGAAACGCTGTCTCATACAACATTTCATTAATAACCTTAAACGCTGTCTGAGACAGCGTTTATAGTTCCAGAGTTAAACGCTGTATGGGACAACATCTTTGGTATAACTGTTTTTTTTTTTAAAAACATTTTTATAAATAAAAGGCAATTACAAAATTTTTTAAAAAAAAGGTTAACAACAAAGACGCTGTCCCAGACAGCGTTTTTAGGTTGATTTTTTTTAAAAAAAAACCCAGGCATAAAACGCTGACCGAGACAGCGTTTTAGCCTGGAAGCTTAGTTTGGTAAATACTTTTGCCACGCAACCATTTTGGTTAATATTTGCCAAAATTGGCTCACTTTGGAAAAACGTCCTTATATTACGGAGTATCATTTAATAATTAGCCTTTAAATTTTAAACATTCATTTTAGTAGATAAATTTTCATTTTACAAATATAGAATAATTATTTATAATCTAGTTATCAATATAATATAATGATCAAATTTAAAAGTACTCTATATGTTTAATAATATACTTTTATATGTACTCCGTATTTATTATTCATATGCTTAAAAACGATATGGTAATTTATACTAATTAAAGTATAGGTACATATATTTATAATTTAACAATAATAGATCTATTACTTTATAAATTTTTTTTATAACTTAAATAAGAGCCTTAAAAAATAAAAAAATTGAATGAATACAAAATTAAATATGCACAAATACAAGTATAAGTAGTTTGTTTTTATAATTTTTTTTTTTTTTTTTTTTTTTACAAAAAGGTAAAAGCAAAACTTAAGGGCTTGTTTGACATCGTTTTTTGTTTTCAGTTTTTAGTTTTTTTGAAAACAAAAAACCAAAACAGGAAACAAGAAAAAGGTGTTTCCACTTTTCTATTGTCAGTTTTCAAAATTATCATGATTTTATTAAGTTTGACTAATTTTTTATTCATTATATGATATATATCATATGGTTTTGAAAAACAAAAAACCAAAAAATAGAAAATCACATCAATGTCAAACAAACCCTAGAGACTTGTTTTTGTATAAAACAGATCTCTTTTATTTTAAATGAAAAGTAGCGGATCGGAAGTTGGTACTTCGTATTTTATTTCAAATAACCGGTCTCTTTGAACAATATTTTTTTTTTCAAAGGTAGCATGTGCTACCCCTTGTTCCTTCTTGGGTGATAAATGTTACAAGTTCAAACTTCGTCTACCCCTCTTTTTAAGTGAAATTTATTTCACTTCGGATATAAGTAGACTGTAGACCTAAGCTGCATTTACATTTCAAACCTAATGGACTCTTATATAAGAGGGCGTGATAGATTGTATAAACCAGTCTTTAGCTTTAACCATTAACTTAACCCTTTGATTAAGTTGGTCATCTAACATGAAAATTATGTATTAAGGAGTACAATAGTACGGAAAATAAATTAGTGAACTAATGGTAAGTTATTCTCAATTATGAATGATTCACAATATGTAAATGATAGGAGTTGCTAGGGAAATAATTCACAATTGGTGTGTTCGCAAAATTCAAGCTAAAGTTGTGGGAATCATGCCCCAAAATTTTCCAAATTAAGTTAAATAAGAGTAATGATATACCAAATACGGGGTATCAAATTGTTAGGTCTGCGCCTATCATTTTTTGTTAAAATTATGAGTACCCATAATTGCCATAGCTTGTCTTATTTAAAATGTGAGCTTGTGACCCATGTTGCTGCTGCGTGTAATGTCAAATGTGTATCACATTATTATGTCAAAAAAAAAATCTTTATTAAATGCACATACTCATATGGCCGGGTCATAAATTCGAGTATTTTTCTACTATTGGTAGAATTGTAAAATGTTGGGCCGTATATTAGTCCCTTCGTTTCATTGTCCCTTGATTTCTATTAGGGGCCGTTTGGTTCGCAGTAATAATCAAAGGGAATAGAATTTTATGGGAATCATTTCCTTTGTTGGTGTTTGTTTTCCCATTTCTATCATTTCCTTTCCCCTTTGATTACCCAAAAAGCTTCTCATCCCATTCCCCAACCCCCTACCTCTTCCATTCCCTTCCCCGGCCTTGCTTCTTTCTCTCTCATCTCTCCTCCTCCATGACCACCTCCTTCGTCCTTCTTCCATGACCACCTCTCACAACACCCTTCACCGGCAACCCCACCCTCTAGCCGCCTTCCCTCGCATCCCACCCCTCACCGGAAACCCACCTAGTCAGCCCGGCCAACCTCCTCGAACACCTCAACCAAGTCACCACAAACACTCCAACCAGCTCGGCCAACCAGCCACCACAGCCTTAGAAAACGCCACCCCTCTCCTCGAAAATGCCACCCCGACCCTAGAAACCCTTCTAAGTCAACCACCGTGTAGTTGGAGGGGTTAGGGCTGAGCGGCGAGGGGTTAGGGATAAGCGGGATGGGGGTTAGGGTTCCGTCGGAGAAGAAAGTGAAGAAAGAGTACCAACCACGGTAGTGGTGCAGTCGGAGTTAGGCGCGGTAGGAGGTTAGGGTTCCGTCGGTGTCAGGCGCGCTAGAGGGCTGGGTTTCGTCGCCGACAGCAATGTCAGCCCGGCCAGCCTCCTCGAACATCCCAACCAGCCACGGTGAATGGGAAAGGAAGAAAGAGGGGTTGTGTTGGTGTGGTGGTGGTGAATCTGGTGATTCCCATTGTTTTTTTAACACAAACAACATACTTACATTTGAGGGATTTTCATTCCATTCCATTTCATTCCCTTTGTTCATTCCATTCCGTTTACTCCGTGCAAACCAAACGACCCCTAAATTGTATTGATATCCCGTTTCTTATGTTTTAAAGAATTGATATAAATAAGAGAATATAGTAGAGAAACATGTGATTGTTAAAAAAAAAAACAAAAATAAAGTAGAGAAACATGTGAGGATTACAAAAAAACAAAAAATATACGGGGTCGGAAAATTTAAAGAGCCGAAGAATACCGAAATCAAACATTAATGAAGAGAAAATTGGGACAATCTTGTAAACTTGAGTTGAAAGATCCAAAATTATTAATAATGGTGTATATTATTGCTCTGGTCAAAAAAATTAAATTGGTACTCCCTCCGTTTTATCTATTTGCATCACTTGCAAATGCGCGAAGTTTTAGGAGAATGAATTTGGTATAATATAATATTGTGAGTGGATGAATAATTTATTACGGTAAAAGTAATGTGGGACCATGAAAGTGAAAGTATGTGAAAGAGAATAGTGGGGACCATAAGAGAGAGAAATGATAACTTAATTAGAGTGGGATTTTAAGTAAAAGAGATAAACAATAAAATATAGTATAAAGTTACTATATATGGAAGTGATGTAAATAAAAAAACAATCATAAAAGGAAAGTAATGCAAATAAAAAAGACGAAGGAAGTATAAAATAAGATAATGAATATGTTATTGCTCTAGTAAAAAAAAAAAAAGAAAAAAAAAGTATAGGGTTGCTACTTTTAATTATTAAAAAAAAACAAGATTGGCCAGGTATAGTATGGCCTAATTAGTAATTTGCATACTTTAGCTTTAAAACACTGTGTGCATCAACTTTCTGTACTCATATACGAGTATGGTTATTACTTATTAGAAATACCCAAATCCACAACTTATACGAATAAAAACTTTAACATCTAACATGCAAGCGAATAGGTGTTGTTTATTGATTGACATGCATGAATGTTCTTAGAATAAGTAAATGTAGAGATCAATATAAGGCTGATAGAAAAAGAAACAAACATGGTGTACTATTTTTAACGAGCATATAAGCCTTAAGCCTTTTACTAAGTGATAGAGTATAAAACCCTTTCAAAAAAAAAAAAAAAAAAAAAAAAAAAAGGTGATAGAGTATTAAACATATTCCTAGGCCTCATCCATCAGCTTAAGTTTTTAATTGAGTTGGTCCATTAATATGGTATCAAGAGCTAGTGTGACATAAAAGTCACTAATTCGAATCTCATCCACATGATGCATCCACAGGTAGGTCTGAATGTCTAATGTCTGGATGGTGTTTAAGCTTGACTATACAAAATGGTGGCAACATGACTAATTGACTATCATAATGACATGTTCTTTAAAATGTTGTAAATACTTTCATTACTCTAAATTTTTGGACAATTTCAACGGTAGCTTATTATTTTGGGACACCACAAAATATCATTGTTTGATTTTTTTGATGTAAGAAGTTGTAATGCCCTGAAGTTTTATTTCACAGAATTGAAAATGCCTTAATAAATTTTGTAAGATAACTGTATTGTCAGTCTGAAAACTGGCTATTAACACTTGTTTTTGGTACTTGCACTATATAGGATTGTGGAGAGCGTAGGTGAGGGTGTTGAAGAATTTGCTGAAGGCGATTTTGTTATGCCTGTATTTTTGGCAAATTGTGGAGAATGTACCGACTGCAAATCAAAGAAGAGCAATCTATGTACGACGCTGCCATTTAAGTTATCATCTATGATGCCAAGAGATGAAACTAGCAGATTTACAGATTCTAAGGGAGAATTCTTGTACCATTCTTTGCATGTATCGAGTTTCACTGAGTATACGGTTGTGGATATTGCCCATGTAACCAAGGTTGATCCACGAATTCCGCCTAACAGGGCTTGCCTTCTCAGTTGTGGAGTTTCCACAGGTAATTTTGCTCGCATTTCTAGCTTGCTAAATGCTTTTATACCCTATTTTAATTTATACTGGAGTACTCGAATCCCTCGTTTCACTTTGTATACCATATTCGTTCCTAGACTATAGACACTTAATTGACACTTCATTTAGGGCCATAAACAAGAAATTATCATATCATAATCAAGTCCGCCTCTTGGTCATACCAGTAACATAAGTTCTTTTAGCACTTCAAGTCCTAAACCTGAAAGAATGAAGTTTCTCCATTTATTTGGGGGTGTAAGCTTTGGAATCGCGTTCTTATGAGCCTAAAATACACGTTCCAATTTGCAACTTCTGACAGAACAATTGACCTGCAGGGGTGGGTGCTGCTTGGAAAACAGCACAAGTTGATGAAGGCTCAACAGTTGCTATATTTGGCCTAGGTGCAATCGGATTAGCAGTATGTAACTTATTTGCTTCTAATTTACGACAAGCCAAGGGCTGAGGCAGGACTTAATCCTTTGGTCATATTGTTCTTATGAAGGTTGCAGAGGGAGCAAGACTTTGTGGAGCTACTAAAATCATTGGTGTAGATGTAAATCCTGCCAAATTTGAAACAGGTAACCTTTCCCTCTTTATGGTTGCATGTTTATTTCGCATCTATCCTGTATTCCTATTATTTATTTGTATCTGAAACTGATTTTATGAGATGATCTCATAAACGTAGTCTCGTTTTCATCATGCTTTTTTTCTGCAGGAAAGAAGTTTGGACTTACACATTTTGTTAATCCTAAGGAAAATGCAACTAAATCTGTCAGCGAGGTATGGTCTCAGTCTCACTCCTTTTCTGTTTTCACCTAGCTGGTGTTTACAGATTTTCTGATTGTTCTTTCTATGTTTAGATTGTTAATTCATTTATTCATTACAAGTCTAACTCTAAATATAATGTATGCCTAAATTAATATTTCTAGTGTTTGTGTGAAATACTGAAATGTGGTTTCTGACATGCTATTATACCGAACAGGTTATTAACGAAATGACAGATGGGGGTGCAGACTTCTGCTTCGAGTGTGTGGGCATGGCGTCGTTGGTGGAAGAAGCTTTTGCTTGCTGCAGAAAGGTCCTTCTCTCTGTTCAACCTAATAACGGAAAATTAATAGATAGATTTTAGGTCCAACTAAGCAAGAACTATCAAATTATTATAACAAGACAAATTTTAAACATCTAACATGTTAGGTACTTAAACACATTATAACTTTGACGAATTTTTCTCTAAAATAAGTTAAGATAATATTGAAGTAGGGCCCAAAGAGAAAAAAAACGCACTCACCTTCTGATTTTCAAGTATTTTATTGAATGTTAGGTGTCTAACATGTATGCCACTTAGCCTAAGTCCAATTCGACTATAGTAGTAATAGTTGTGATATGGACGTTGATCACTTGGCCATTACTTATGCTTCAAGTGTGAGTTGATGTCATAAAAGGAAGCCCAACGTTTTTGCCTTGAATGTGCCAGGGTTGGGGGAAGACGGTGGTCCTAGGAGTCGATAAGCCTAACTCAAAATTGACTCTCAGCTCTCACGACGTGCTACACAACGGCAAAATCCTTACAGGTTCACTCTTTGGAGGTCTCAAGGCCAAAACTGACATTTCCACTCTAGTTAAGTGGTACTTGGATAAGGTAATGCACACAATTTTATTTCAATTTTGCTATTCCTACCTATAATTATGATAAGAATGTAGATAAATTGCTACATCATCTTACAAATATGACACATTAATTCCTGCTAACTTATTGTAATAGAAACTGCGACTGGATGACTTTGTAACGCATGAGATGAAGTTCGAGGAAATCAACAAGGCCTTCGAGTTGCTCATCGAGGGGAAGTGTCTTCGATGTGTGTTATGGATGGATAAAAATGAGGAATAAGCTTTCGAAAATCAAATGAAATTTCTACATAATGAGCCTAATAAACTACTGTATAATGAAATTGTAGAGCCTTTTTTTTCTCTATGTATAAACGAGTAGTTTATTACTTTATTTGTCATCAATCTTGAACTTGTGAAATTTGCCTAATGAGACTGAAATATGTTTTCTTCTGCTTTACCAGTAAAAAGTTCAAAATTTTCATTTTTGTGGAGTATAAGATATTGTACCCAAATCAGTGGAAAGATAAAAGTTAAACGCTAGAAACTTGACTTTTCGGTCGGAATCCGTCATTAACAAGGTGCCATTTTTAAAATAAAATTTAATTCAAGGTATTACTTGACAAAAAATAAAAGTAAGGTTATAGTTCATGTTTCGGTATGAAAATAATAGGACCTTCAGCAGGCCCTTTAAAAGTGAAAAAGACTGGTCTCGGTCCAAAGAACACTGAAGTCGAGGGTTTCCTGCATAGCAAAGAACACGTAAACTAGCCTCGGGGGTGGTTGTCGAGGAAGGTCCCTCCGATGCCAAAGTCAATTCAATTGAGAGAGAATTCTATGCAAGAGATTTTATGCTTGAGGCTTTAGTTGCATGAATGTAAAATGGTGTAATTGATGGCTTTTATACCTGGACTCAATTGAGGAGAATTGGGCCCCTAGAGTCAGATAGGCTGACCACATTGACTGGGCTTTTGATGACCTTAGCATGCTTTTGGAGGTTGAACCTTGCTTTGGGCTTGCGTTGAATTATTTGGACTTGGCCCAATTATATGGACTGAATTGGACCCAAACAACTTGCCCCCCAGACCCGATTCGGTTGAAAGACGGGTTGGGTATGACTTGCAAATTTGAAAGGACAAATAACGGCAACTTGAATCTTGAAGGAATCTAGGAAATTAATGATGTTTAACTTCCATTAGGGAGATTAATTAAGGAAGACTGAGGGTTTAGTGGGTACTTAACTAGGAACGTGTGTGAAAGTTTGTGTTTAATTAAGAATTCGTGGGGGTTTTTGAGGTTTAAAGCTTTTAGAATTCTTGATTCTTGAAATCCTCATATAAAAGCGTCCTCTCCACTTTCCTTAATCATTTTCCCACAAACACACGAATTTCCTCAAGTTTACTGAACTCACTGAAAACCCTAGCTTTTCGTCGCCCTTAATCACTGCAATTCCATTGCTGAAACTAGAATTCTCTAGTTAGAAGTAGAATTGAGAGGGAGAGTTCCTCGAGTGAGGATCAGGATCTTCAGATGACTGTGCTGGGTGCTCGGCACAGCCAGCCTTTACAGCGAATGCCCCCTCTTAGCCATAGCCACAACTCTCCACTTCAAAGGAGAGAGGATAGGGTTTCCCCTCAAGAACCCCCTGTCGCTGCAATTCCCCTGACCTCGGTGCCGTACAGAGGTTGGGAGGAGGCCATAACCTCAGCCAGTGGCTCTAGGCACGGGCCTCGGCGATTACCTGAAAGAGCCGAGGAACGGCAAAATCCGCCAGAAAATGGCGGGTTAATGACTGCTGCCCCCTTATAGTTGGTGGGTCAAAGGGGATTCCCTCCATCATTTCGCTAAGCAAATAGAAATTTTCTACAGCATAATGGAGGAGGATGGGTATTGGTGCCAAATGCCTGTAGCTGAAGATAGAATTCACAGGCCTTCACCTGGTTATTTGGGCGTATACACCAGGCAGCTGCAGTTTGGCCTTAGATTTACTCTCCACCCCTTTATAATCAAGGTGCTGAACGGGTACAACATTTCTTTGTGCCAATTAACCCCGGTCAGCATCCGAAGAGTAATGACGTTTCTATGGGTCAATCTCTTTTACGGATTTCTACCCAGTATCCATGTCTTCAGAAAGCTGCACAAATTGGTGTCGAACCAGCAGTCCAATGAGCACCATGGACCTGGATGGTGGAGAATAGAATCCCGGAGGGGGTATTTTACCACTTAGCCGAACGACACTTCGGACAAGGAATGGAGAGGTCAATGGATTTGGGTTCGGGCTCCTACTGAGGAGGACCATCCGAACTATTATGGGGGCCGAGGCATTTGAGAATGCCTGATCCGAAAATGAGTGTCCTCGGCCCCGATGATTATTCTGCCGAGGAAGAGGAGTTGCTGTAACTCTTTAAGAGTGATCCAAATGCGAGGGGTGCTCGTCGAGCAAACGGGGTGCCAAAGACCTGACTCCCCTACTACCATTATATCTTCAAAGAGAAGATACTAGCTGCTGTCGGCCTCAGCCGAAAGTTTCAAGATGGTGAGAACCTCGGTTGGGGCCGAAAGTCTTTACTTAGCTTATTTTTCTTCTGTTAGAGTCTTATTTCTTCATGCAGAATAACCCTTTGCTTTCCTTGTTGTTTTTCAGTGCTGCACGAAGGAAATTGCAGCTTGGAATACAATTGGCTTGGGATCAACGCAGCTCGGAAGGTGACAAGGCGTGACCCTTCTATCACCCCTCCATCTGCTAGGGCTCTTGTGCTGCGCCCTTCTTAGTTGGAAATCGTTAAACCAACTGAGTATCTTGCTTAGAAGCCTTGGTTTTTAAAGAGGGACCCGTTCTTTTTGCTGGTCCCCTAGGAACAAATCGTTGCAGCTGCAGCTGCTGTCAAAGCTGGAGTTTTTGCTATTAACTCCGAGCACAACGCTGAGCCGTCAACTTCAATTGTTGGGCCGAATGTGCTCACAGCTTCAGACGAAGAGTTGCTAAGGAGTTCGGTAAGCTTTTTAAGTGCTTTTGAACTTTTCTGCTTTAACTTAGAATTTCGCTTGAACCTTCAACTTGTGAAATGATTCTGAAAATTTTTCCAAGTATTAAGATTCGGCTGACTTATTCTGTTCACCCAGACCTTTCATCTTGTGAAATTTGCCTAAGTATGAAGCTTTGACTCATAGGCTCCTTAGCTGCTTTACTTTCTCTGCTTAGACTTCCTTTTTGCGAAAATTGTTCAAGTGTTGAGTCCCGGCTTTGAGAGAGTTTGCCTTGCTTTTTTTTTTTTGGTACAGATGATACTAATATCACCCCTTGCCCCCCTTGTTTTTTCTACTGCAGTCTGAAGAAGAAGAAGAAAACAAGGACGCCGAAAAAGCTAAGCCCTCCTCTTCATACGACTCTTCAGAGAAAGAAATGGCAGGTCCTGGAAGGAGGAGATTGAGAAGAGTTGTTGTTGATCCGGGAGAATTCCCGGTTTCAGAGCCTGCTAGTAAGAGACCTCGGCTGGCCAAGACCCAAGCCGAGATTAATTAAGGAAAAGACTCCCCCTCCTTCTGAGCATCAGGAGGAGGAAGTGCAGCAAAGGACTCCTCCTGTCCTGACAGAGTCTCCTCGACATACAGCCGAGGATTTCACAGCTGAAATCCAAAGAGAAATTGATGCCCTCATCGTGCAGCACTCCAAGGACGATGATGTGCAAATTTTGTCAAGGAGACCTGATGATTTTAAGGAGGTTGATGAAAGAGTTGAGGGTCCCAGATCGTTTGACATTCCATCATCTGCTGGGCACTCTTTCAAAACCTTCCAATCCGGAGAGATGGGTTTTGAGGCTACCCCTATGATAGTGGTCCCTGAAGCTATCAAGGATAGCTTGCACCTTCACCGAGACTCATCCATTGAACTCTTTGGTGACTTGTCCAGCGTTTCTGAGCTGGAGAGAGTTGAGAGATGGTCAATTCGCGCTGCTGCGGGAGTGACTGAACCTTTGGTGAGGGTGCCAGACCCTATTACTGAGAATAAGAAGTTGTTGATGTAGGTAATTTACATTCAAATATTTGTTTTAAGTATCAACCCCTATTTTCTTCACTTCTTTTTTCATCTCTCTTTTTTTTTTTACATCTCTTTTTCCTCGGCTGATGCATTTTTCAATCTTGACAGGTTGTTCACAACAATGTGTTGGCTGCTGGCCTAAACGAAGAGATAAGGCTCAAGGCAGAGGAAGCTGAGAACCGGGCTCGGCTGTATGAGCTGAAATGTAAAAAAGCAGAGGAAGAATCTTCTGCCAACCTTTCTCGGATGAAGGAGGTGGATTCTCAGCTCCGAGATTTATGCCAAACGGTTGAGCAGACCGTTTTTTCCCTGGATTGAGGAGGGTCATGCCCTGATTCAGGAGTACGGCGCTGTTGACATTTTGAGTTTCAAAGCTCGGATTGAGGAGAAGATGAAGATAGAGGCAAAAACTCGGCAAGCTCTGGCCGAGGATCTGGAGATGGAGCGGGCAAATCATGAGGCTGAGACTCAGCGGCTTATCAGCCATCTGGATGCTAAGGACTCTGACCTGTCTTCAATGAGTTCTGGTCTGCAAGAGCTGAAAGATCAGCTGGCGGCGCAGATTGAGGAAGATGCCAAGGCCAAAGAAGAGGCTGAAAAAGCTAAGGCATATCTCTCGGCTGCCAATGATTTGCTGAAGGTCTGCATCTACACCCGAGCACAATAAGAAGAAGGTTTTGACAACGGGTTTAATGTTACTCGGCGCTTGGCCTTCCACGCCTACCCATAAATCAACTGGGATCAGGTCGAGGAATGGGCGGCGGTCCTTAACCATCCGAAGATGCGGGTCGCCCATCCAGCTGAAGATACGTACCTTGTCCGCCTCGCTGAAGCTGAAGCCGAGGAAGATGGGGCTGAAGATGGGGATGCGGCTAGAGAGATTGACATTGTTCACCCTGTCTCATCTTCTGCTGTTGAGACCTTGAAAGCTCCAAACTCTGATCCAGCCAATGCCGAAGCATAGGGACTCGGGCAGTCGTCTGCAGAATCTTGCGGTTCTATATGCTCTTAATTGAATTAATGCCGCAACTGCTTTTTGCCTTACTCTTTTGCTTCAGCTAGCCTTGCATTGTACAAACTTCTTTTTGCTTAAGTACATTTCTTCGGCAGCTGTGTTTTCCGCTTGTGGGCGGCTGCCGATTCTAGAATTTCTCGTTGTTTATTGACATTTGAAATCCTCATTTTATGCTTATGAGTAATTTTCTCAGCTTTCTTCTCTCATTGCTTGCTTTAATGTTCTTTGTACTTTAGCTGCTTTTCTTGAATTTCTTTAAAATTTAGCTAAGTGTAGAACTTCGGCTTGGAGATATACTTGGCTGAGAACTTCTTTATTTGAGAGTGCACTGTCTCTGCTTGCATTCCTTTTGCCCCACTCATTTTACTCGGATATTTCAGCTTGTGAAAATTTTTTCCAAGTACTAAGCTTCGGCCAGGAACTTGCCAAGTGAGTGCCTCTTGCCCCCCTAGAAATCTGAAGATGACGTCTTCAAGATTCTGGGAAAACTGCTTTTACCTCTTCGGCACAGCCGAGGATCTTGCCTTGGTGAAATTTTTGCAATATTCCATCTTTAGAATTTCTGCTCATTTTTCTTTTTTCCCTTCTATTTATGCTTCCGAAAGCTCTGATTTCTTGCTCAAGAGCCCTAGACTCTGAGAGAAATACTCTTGTGACACTTTCAATTCATCCGAGGGAACGACTATCCGAAGCACGATACCGGGGCAGTGATCTATCCGAAGTGCAATACTTCGGAAATGCGATCACCACCCGGAATTGATTCATCCGAAGTACGACGCATTACTATGCAATACTTCGGGGCTTTATCAGTTCCTATTTTTTAGGCTATGTTTTGAATGCGCCTATGGCCTCTTTTCCCAGAGGAATAGATTCATCCGAAGTACAAGGCATCATTATGCAATACTTCGGGCTTTTATCTTTTATCCTCTTCTTGGAAGGTTTCACGACTTGCCGAAGTACGATGCATCATTATGCAATACTTCGGACAACGCCGTACAAAAACCTTGAACTTTTGCAAAAACCATAGAAGACAGAAAAAATAGAAATATAGCTGAATTTGAATAAATAGTGGCTCAAGGGCCTTTTCATTAATTAAAGATAATGAACTTACATAGATTGTTCTTCCCCAAAGGGATTTACACATGATATTTTTTGAGTACATCAGCATTCCAGTGATTTTTCAGCTCGGTACCATCCAACTGCCAAAGTCGGTATGTGCCTGGGTGAAGCTCATCACATATTTCATAGGGCCCCTTCCAAGTTGCTGAGAGTTTACCATGAATACGACCTTTTTGCACAGCAGCAGCATTCCGAAGAACCAGGCCCCCAACTTTGAGAAGTCTTTGGTGGACTCTTCGGTTGCAAAATTTGTTGATTCTCTGCTTATATGCAGCCATTCTATGCCGAGCTAAATCTCTTATCTCATCCAGGAAGTAAAGGGACTCTTTCATGAGTTGCTCATTTTCCTCGGCTGAGAAGAGATTTACTCGCAGACTTTCTGAGCCAATCTCCATTGGAAGCACAGCTTCGGATCCGTATACCAACTCAAAAGGTGAATGCCCCGTTGCCTCTTTTTCTGTTGTCCGGAGTGACCAGAGAGTTCTGGGAAGCTCTTCTATCCACTTGGATTTTTGATCTTCTACTCTCTTCTTGAGAGCATTGAGGATCTGCTTATTTGCAGCTTCGGCTTGACCATTACTCTACGGATGACAAACTGCAAAATACGCCAGTTTAATGCCGAACTGGTTTGTGTACCACTTCAGCGGCAGATTATCAAATTTCCTTCCATGATCAAAGACAAAAACCTTCGGAATCCCGAAACGAGTAATTATGTTTTTCCATATGAATTTCCTGACAGTTTGCTCTGTAATGTTCGAAGCAGCCTCGACTTCGATCCATTTGCTGAAGTAGTCTATACCGACTATCAACCATCTTTTTTGGTAAGGAGCATCAGGAAATGGTCCCAATATATCCAATCCCCATTGGGCAAATGTAAGAGGATTTAGGATTGGCTGAAGATATCGGTATGGCCGATGGATAACTGGTGCGAATTTCTGGCATTTCTCGCACTTTCGGACCAGATCCTTTGCATCTGCGATCATGGTTGGCCAATAGTACCCAGCCCTTACTGCTAAATGAGCTAAGGTTCTTCCCCCTATGTGGTTTCCGCAAATGCCGAGGTGAATTTCCCTAAGGACGTAATCTGCATCTGTTGGACCCACGCATTTCAATAGTGGGGCTGAGAAGGACTTATTCAGAAGTTCCCCTCCGAAGACAACGAATCTTGAGCTGATTCTTTTTTATCTTAGAGGCTAACTTTTGATATTCGAGGAGTTCATCCCGAAGTTTGTAAGCTAGGATGGGATCCATCCAGCTCGGTTCATGCGCAACGCAGCATATGTTAACTTCTTCGTCCACACTTCTTTCTCGGTGCACCTCCACATATACAGATCGGTTCAACTTAGTCAAAGTTGAACTTGCAAGTTTGGAGAGTGCATCGGCTTGTGCGTTCTGACCCCTTGGGATCAGCTCGACCTCAAAAGTCCTCATCTTCGCAATAACAGTTTTGATCTTTACGAGGTAAGCCACCATTGAAGGCTCTTAGGCTTCATTTTCACCTCGGATCTGATTTGCGACGAGCTGAGAGTCTGTTTTTAAACAGACATGCTCGGCCTCCAATGCTATGCACAGCTCTAAGCCAGCAATTGCTGCTTCATATTCAGCTTCGTTGTTCGAAGCTTTGAAAGAAAATTTAGTGCATATTCAAAGGATTTGCCTTCGGGAGAGGCTATGACGACCCTTGCCCCCGAACCATTCACGGTGGAAGATCCATCTGTGAAAACGGTCCAGATTTTCTTTCCTTCGTCAAGTGTCTCTTGATAAGAACACTCGACTAGGATATCTGCTAAGGCTTGCACTTTAATAGCTGCCCTTGGCTGATAAATGATACTGAACTCGGTGAGCTCGAAAACCCACTTCGTTAGTCTACCGGATTTTTCCACCTTGCCGAGGACTTTTTCTAGTGGCTGATCAGTTAGGACCACTATTTGATGGAAATCAAAGTAGGGCCTTAATTTCCCAGCGGCTACCACTACTGCGTATGAAACTTTTTCGAGTAGGGGGTAGCGTGTCTCGGCATCTATCAGAGTGTGGCTGAAAAAATAGATCGGCTGCTGAATTTTTTCTTCTTCCCTTAGCAACACCGCACTTAATGTGGCCGGACTAACCGCCACATATAAGTATAGAGTTTCTCCTTTGGCTGGTCTTGCCAGTGTTGGGAGTTGAGCCAAATGCTCACAGAGTTGCTGAAAGGCTTGCTTTTGCTCGATTCCCCAGACGAGCTCTTTTGATTTTGGGAGTTTGAGCGCTTTAAAGAAAGGTAGCCCTTTGTAACCTGGACAAGGCGGCCATTCTGCCGGTTAGGCGCTAAACATCCCTCTTAGTCCTCGGCTCGGGGAGATCCAGAGTTGCTTGCACTTTGGCGAGATTAACATCAATCCCCCTTTTACTGACCATGAAGCCGAGGAACTTGCCTAACCTCACACCGAAGACACACTTCTTCGGATTCAGTTTCATTTGGTGCTTGCGAAGGGTGGAAAAGGTTTCAGCTAGGTTCCGTAACATGGTCTTTTTCTTCCTTGCTTTTGACGATAGAATCGTCAACATAGACTTCCATATTACGGCCTTTTTGCTCGGCGAATACCTGATCAACCAGCCATAGAAATGTTGCCCCCGCATTTTTCAATCCAAAGGGAATCATTTTGTAAATGTACACCACGAAACTTGTAACGAATGCCGTTTTTTCTCGGTCATCGGGGTGCATGAATATCTGATGGTACCTAGAAAATGCATCCATGAAGCTAAGCAAGGCATGGCCACTTGTCGAGTCGACTAGCTGATCGATCCTCGGCAAGGGATAGACGTCTTTCGGACATGCCTTATTCAGATCCGTGAAGTCAACGCACATTCTCCAGCTACCATTTGCCTTCTGAACCATCACCATATTAGTCGGCCATTTCGGATACTGACAAGGTTCGATGAACCCAGCATCCAAAAGTTTTTTTACTTCGGCTGCGATGTCTTGGTTCTTTTGTGCAGAGTAGTTCCGCTTTTTCTGCTTAATGGGTCGACATTAAGCTTATGAGAGATGAGGTTCGGATTAATCCCGGGCATTTCTTCAGCCGAGAATGTGAACACATCTCTATTGTCTCAAAGGAGTTGGATTAGTGCAGCACGAACATTTGGTTCAAGTCCCAATCTGATGCTGACATACCTTTCAAAATTTCCTTCGGCCAAATCTATTGATTATGTCTGGTTGTCCAGTTCCATAGCTTTGGCACTGGATTCTTCGGATTCCGGCCTGCTGTCAATATCAGCAAGCTTCCCAGATTCTGGCTGATCTTCTGAGTCTCTCGGCTCAGACGAAGAACTATCCCTTTCATTCCCCAAAGATTTTTCTTTTGATGGGGTTCCTTAGGCCGAAGCACTTAAGCCTTTAGGCTTTTTTTGCACTACGGTCCCGCTCTTTTTCCTCCTCATCATCCTGGTCGTTGCAGCGACCCTTGGATGGTTTGAGGTGGTTACATCTTCGGGCTTCCTTTTGGCTGCCCTTAATCTTTTCGGAGTGTCCCTCATCCGAAACATATATCATCGTTTGATGGTACGTCGAGACAACTCCTTGAATGTCGTGAATGAGGGGTCTCCCCATAATCACATTATACACAGAGGGGGCATCTACGACGAGGAATTCAACCATGATGCTTCGCACTGCTCGGCCTTTGCCGATGGTGACAGGAAGAAAGATCTTCCCATCTGGATATGATGAAGAGCCATTGAGTCCGGATACCAAGTAAGGTACCGGAGTTAGATGCTTGGCCTCCATCTTCAACTGGTCAAATGCTCCCCGAAAGAGGATATTCGCCCCGCTGTCGCCGTCGACGAGGGTTCGCCAGATGCTACGGTTTGCAATGCCCATTACTATCACCAATGGGTCATCATAGGGGTACACCACCCCCTTACAGTCTTCGGTTATGAACAGAATGTTCGGCACCAGAGACTGAGGCGCTCGGAGCTCAGCATGATTCACTTGGTGGGTCAGACCCCTCAAGTGGTGTTTTACTACGCTCCGAGAAGTTCCCCCGGAAATGGAAAGAATGTCAAGGGTATCCTTGTCTTGCTCTTTGTCTTTTTTCCGGAGAAAATTAAGATCTTACCGAGAGTCTCTTTCAGCTTTCTTCTCCTCGCGGCGATCCGCGAGGTATTTCTTTAGATAGCCTTTTCGAACTAGATCCTCAATCTGGTCCTTCAGCTGAAGGCAGTCCTCGGTGCGATGTCCAGGAGACTCATGGAACTCACACCATCGGTCCTTGCCCTTCTGCTGATGCCATGGTGGCAACGGCCGAGGCTTCTTGAATCTGCCTTCGTCTCTTGTCGTGCTGTAAATCTTAGCACGAGGAAGAGTAAGGGGAGTGTATGAATCATATTTCCCCGCATAGGGGACAAACTTTTCTTTCTTCGGCTCGGCGGCCGAGGACGGTTCTGAGGTCTTAGCCTTCCCTTTCCTCGGCACCGGGACCTCGGACGGTTGTCCTTTAACTTTCCCAGCCCCTGATTGGGACTGACATTTCACCTTGTTCCATTCTTCGGCTCGGATAAATTTATCCGACGCATCCAAAGCTTCCTCCAAGGTCTGCAGGGGATGCATGACCATGAAGTCCAAGAACTTTCCAGCTTGCAGACCATTCTGTAGTGCAAATACGGCAAGGCCTTGATCCAGACTAGTAATTCTGGATGACTCGTTGCTGAAGCGAGCCAGATAATCGTGGAGGCTTTCACCTTCGGCTTGCTGCAAACTCATTAGCTCTACAGTCGTCTTTTCTCGGCGGTTAGCCGCTGAAAATTTGCTCTTGAATTTGTTGGAAAGGTCTTTCCAACCAGAGATAGAGCCTTCTTTTACCCCTTTGGTGATCCACGATTGTGCAACACCTTTGAGGGTTGTTGGAAAGTACTTGCACCAGGTAGCCTCAGACCTAGGGTTAAGATACATGTGCCCCTCATAAGAGGCAATGTGGTCCTTTGGGTCCGAGGTGCCACGTAAGTAATGTGCACCGGTATTTTCACCGTCGGTAGATGATCTGCCAATATCCAACTTTGAAAGGGCGAGCTTGCAGGGACCATTACTGCCTTCCCCCTTTGCTTGGCCGAAGGGACCTCGCTTCTCCTTTTTAGAGAGGTGGAAGTGGTTTTCGTCCCTGGCCGAGACAATTCGGGTGAGGACCCGGTCTTTTTTAGGGAAGGTGAGGCGGTTGTGCACGTTCACCTCCCTTGAGCCTAAGCGTTCATGAACACTTCGCCGAGCAGACTCCTCCTCGTATGTGAAGGTAGTATTGCTGCTCCGGAAACTCATTGAGTCTCGAGTTTCGGAATGGTCGAAGAAGTGAGGATTCTTATTCCTTTCCTTACTAGAGTTACATGTGTTCTCCTGCCACTTGTTCCCAAGCTCCTTGTAGGATGGAACTTGCTCATCCTTCTCTTGACCGATTCTCCTTCTCAGGTGTCTCGGCTGCAGAGATGAAGACTCAGGAGGTGTTGGTTGGAGTTGACCCCCTTGGGCCTTAAGGAACTATATGCAGACCGCCACGGCCCTAGCCACTTCCTTCGTAGAGGGCCCCGATAAAGGGGTTTCTTTTGGCTGGGACCGAGAACGCAGGCTGCTGTTTGGTGGAGGACTCCTCGCATTAGACCCACTCGACTTAGGTGAAACCGTTGGCTGTCAAGTGTGGTGCGAGGAAGAGTCTCCTGAAGCCTCCCTTTCCTGAGAATTGGGGGCTCTTGAAGCCTCCTTTTCCTGAGAATTGGGAGCTCTTGAGGAAGGAGAGGACGACTCTGGTGACGGTGAAATCGGATGATGTTCCCTCACTGTGATCATGTCCCTTTCCTTCCTCTTTCTAGCACTTTTGGTGCTTTTGCCACTCTTAGTCATGCTCTTCACTAGGAGTGATGGAGTTTTTGGCTTGATTTTTGTATCTTCCCCACAGACGGCGCCAAATTGTTTCGGTATGAAAACAATAGGACTTTCAGCAGGCCCTTTAAAAGTGAAGAAGACTGGTCTCGGTCCAAAGAACACTAGAGTTGAGGGTTTCCTACACAGCAAAGAACACGTAAACTAGCCTCGGGGGTGGTTGCCGGGGAAGGCCCCTCCGATGCTAAAGTCAGTTCAATTGAGAGAGAATGCTATGCAAGAGATTTTGTGCTTGAGGCTTTAGTTGCATGAATAGTTGCATGAATGTAAAATGGTGTAATTGATGGCTTTTATACCTAGACTCAATTAAGGAGAATTGGGCCCCTGGAGTCAGATGGGCTGACCACATTGACTAGGATTTTGATGACCTTAGCATGCTTTTGGAGGGTTGAACCTTGCTTTGGGCTTGAGTTGAATTATTTGGTCTTGGCCCAATTATATGGACTGAATTGGACCCAAACAGTTCATAAATTGACTAAATTTTGACAATTAAAAAAAAACTTATTAAATTTGATTTTTTTTTTCAATGAATTGAGGTAATAGATTGTCATTGAAAAAACACTTTGTAATGGTATGTTTGGATTGAGAGTAAAAAATTACTAGAGTAATAAAAGTCAATCAAATTAAAATGAAAGTGAATATAGAGAAGGAGGAGATAGTGATTGTGTAATTGTAAGGAGTTTTGTATAGTGATGGACTGATGGTGTGGTACGTGATAGGTGAAGAAACAACATCTCTTATATACACCCGGGTGTACATAGAGGTAGGTGCATCCAAACATTCCGGTGCTATACATAAATCTTTTTGGTGAATAAAGGGAGTTTTTGTCCTTATTTTGGGGGTAATAGTTATAGTGTTACACTAGGGGATCGGAGGGAAAGTAACCATTACTCTCATTATGAGGGCAATGACTCCTTCATCTCTCGCTTTTCCTCATGTTACAATTACCTTACTTCATTTATAAACACATTATCTCCCAACAACAACACATCTAATCATGTTTTTCTTAGTTTTTACCCCTAATCCAAACATGGCATTAAGTTACTCCGTATTACAATTAGAGATGTCAATACAGGTAATAACCATATGAAATTTGGGTTGACTCACGACAGGTCGGGTCTGTTCGGTTCAAGGTTACCCTTTTAACCAGCCTTAGTTCGGGTTGGGTCAATTTCGGGTCAAGGTCTGTCGAGTCTGGGATGGGTTTGGGTTGGGTCAACTTCACATCAATTCATATTCGGTTCGTATAAATTTGGATCGAGTTCAAAACAGGTTTAATTAGGTTGATTTCGGGTCGGATGACTTTAGGTCGAGTTGATTCCGATTCAGTTAAGTTTAATTTGATTAAGATAAGGTCGATTCCTTTTCACATTTGGCTGATGAATTTTGGTCTGGTTGACCAAATAAATAAGGTTATTTTTAAACTAGAGTAATTATTGAGTTATTACCTTATTATTGGATCGATATTAGTCATTCATGTGTTATTTTTTATGTCGATCACATTATTAATAACTAGGGAGTATTAGTTTTCTAATTTGATAAGCTCTTGTGTCATTATCTTTAAGCCAAATTAAAATCGAATTATCGATGACTTATCATACCTACATAAGTGAAATGTCCTAGTGAAAGATGAACTATTGATTGATGATAGCCACATATGATGATATGGACGCAAAAGAATGTCATCTTTTTAAGGTTATTAAGGTGGCTAACGCACGCGATACGCACGCCATTATAATTTGAGTTGTTTGACAACATAATGAGGGAAATATACGAAAGCTAGTCATATCCGAAAGTTCTTTGAGTTCTTGACAACATAATGACTAAAATAAGTAAACAAATATTTTAAGGGTATAAATGTCCGCATACTATTCTTAATAAGTTAAATATAGGACATTTAACATTAATAATGAGGACAAATAAGTAATAAACATATTAGAGGATATAATTGTCCAAACACTATTCATAAAAGCTTAAAGACAATTAACATCATATCAATAGGGACATATAGGTCACTACAAAAAAATGTCCATATAGAAACGGAATTCAATCCGTTTCTGAATTATAGACGGAATTAAAAAATCCGTCTCTAAATTAATTTAGAAACGGAATTTAAAAATCCGTTTCTAAATTAGAGACGGAATTAAAAAAATCCATCTCTAAATTAGAAACGGGATCAAAAATCCGTCTCTACATTAGAAACGGATTTTTTTTCCTTTGCTAAATAAGAAACGGATTTTTTTTCGTTGCTAAATTTAGGGACGGATTTTTTTTTTTTCCATTGCTATATTAGAGACGGTTTTTTTTCCCTTTTCGTTGCTAATATGAGCGACGGATTTTTAATTCGGTCTCTAAATTATTTTCGAAACGAATTGTGTAAAATATTACTTTAGAGACAAATTATGTAAACTAAAATTTTGAGATTGGGGATTCAAGGAGCCTTACATGTAAAGCCGAGTTGAGTTTACCCGAGTGAGGTCGAACCGAATAGCATCTACTTTTAGACACAAAATAATTTTTTCCGTTGCTAAATTTAGAGACGAATTTTTTTTTTTTTTTTTTCCGTTGCTAATACTAGTGACAAATAAAAATAATCCATTGCTAAAACCAGCGACGGAAATAAAAATCCGTTCAGCAACAAAAAAAAACAAATACAACGTCGCCAGTCTCATTTAGCGACAACAGTTTTGCCAATAGAGTAATTCTGTTTCAAAATCTGTCGCTACCTATATTTAACTACAGAAAAGTACAATCTAGCAACGGATTTGATCTGTTGCTAAATGTCTATTTTTTTGTAGTGGGTAAACAAACATTTTTAGGGTATAATTGTTCTCATACTATTCATAAATCATAAGTGTTTACTCATATTTTGTAAAAGGTAGGGATTATAAATCTTCTACCGTATGATAATCTTATGAGGCTACGAGTATTGTTAGTTTGCTATATTACAAATTCATTTCGTATAAGATATTAGTTCGTGCTCTTAGGTTGGGTGTAAAATTATGGTTAGTTTGAAATCATAAGTTGGGTTAAAATTATGGTTGGTTTAAAATCATGTCGGGTTAGAATCAGGTCGAATTAAATTGGGTTGAGGTAATATCAGTTGGGGTAAAAAACATATCAAATTGAATCAGGCATTTGTTGAGTCAATTTCGAGTCAAGTTGAGTTTAGGTCGGTTCAAGTAGGTTCGGTTTAAGTTTAAGTCGAGTCAAATCGATTTCGAGTTGAATTCAACTCGAGTGAGATCGGTGTCAGGTTAAGTTCAGATCGGATCAAATTTGAATTTGGATTGAATTCAAGTCAATTACAGGTTGAGTTTGGGTTCCAAATTTCTTGGATCAAATTAGATCGGTTACATTTCGAAACAAATAGTTTGAGGATCGAGTCCGTATGACACCTCTAATTACAATAATCTTTTTTTTCTCAATGAATCCATGATCCGCAGCTAGGAAAATAATTGATAGGCAAGTTACGAAACTAGCTACATACGTGGTGGACCTTAAAAACGGGTCGTTTGAGTCGTGTTAATTTCGGGTCAGCAAATATTCGAGTCGGGTTTGGGTCAATTTTAAGGACCAATTATTTTCGGGTTAATTTCGGGTCGAGTCAATTCGGGTCGGGTTAATCCAGGTCGGGTCAGTTCGAGTTGGGTCAAGTTTGTGTCGGGTCACCAAAATAATTTCACTTACAAAAAAACTTGGAAAATTAAGTAAAATCATTAAAAAAAATTGAAAAAAATCGTGAGTACTTATTACTTAGGAAAGAAAGAAGCCCTAAACTAAGTAATTCATCATTTCACCTTATTTACTTCAAGAACCGGGTCACTTCAAATTGGGTTACTTCGGGTCAATTAATTTGGGTTAAAATCGGGTCGGGTCACTTCGGGTTTCGGGTCAATTTCGGGTTTCAGATCAATTTCGAGTCGGGTTGGATAAATTCGGGTTTGGGTCATTTTTGGGTCAATAATTTCGGGTCAACTTTCGGATCACGGGTCGAGTCAATCGGGTCAGGTCAGAATTGTCAAGTCTAACACGTGGCTAAATCCCATTCAATTCTATTCTATTCAAATTTTTAAGCATGACCGGTGGACCTGCGCCATAACATTCAATACCACTCACTAAAATACTCGCACTTCCTTTTTGCTGACTGTATAATTACACCTTCCACAATTACCAAAACACCCTCATTCACACCCTCAATTTTCCACAATCACAAGGGCGTAATCGTCAAATCAACCCTAAAAAACGCAATTAAAAAATAAAACTAAAATTTCACTTCAATTTTCTCTCTCCTCCGTCACTTTCTCTCTCCTAACACACTTTCTCTCTCCTCCATTTCCATCATCAATGGCTTCAACGGCATTCCGTCTCCGCCGTATTGCCGCCGTTTCCTCCGCCGCAACAATCACATTAACGGTCTCATCTTCCAGAAATGACCGTGGAACTACAGTGGGACCCGAAATTCTGGCGAAAATTTCCGACGCTTACGCTGTCGTTCCACCTCGACCGGCTCAAATGTCGGCGTTGTCCGGTTCCACCGCCGACAAACCGCTTGATGTGCTCGTGATTGGCGGCGGTGCTACCGGGTGCGGTGTCGCGCTTGATGCTGCTACTAGAGGTCTTCGTGTTGGGGTTGTTGAGAGGGAGGATTTCGCTTCTGGAACTTCTTCTAGGTCTACTAAATTAATTCATGGAGGTTTGTTTAATTGTCTTTTTTTTTTTTTGTTTAAAGTTTGTTTTAATTGTTTAATTTTTGTTTGTTTAATTGGCATTATTGTGATTGTTTTGATTTGGTCAAATATGTTGGGCGATTTGTAATTTATGATTTTGTAAATTCTGTACTGCGTTGGAATTTTAATTTGGTCAATTTTGTTGGTGTGGTGAATTATGATTTGACCGGACGCGCTTGTTTCGGTTGTGATCGACACTTTCGGGTGGTCGGTACTTATAACGGTGTATGTAAATGTAATGCCTTGTCGTTATAGGGGACATGGGTGACAACTTCCGGGGAGTTTTAATTGTTTCGATGCAACGGCCGGGTGGAAAACATGGGTATGTGATGTTTTTGATAGGCGCGGTGGTTTCTCAGATAGTTGTGCTTTGGATGGTTATGGATCCTTTTTGTGGTATCTCAAATGATTGTGGTGGTAAATTTAGGCGGTTAGGCTGATGGAAAATGATCAGAATTCAATAATTCCAGAGAATGTTTTATCATTGCTCTCCGTTTAGTATTCCTTTGATTGAGAAATGGTTGTTGGGTTGTCCTAGTTTCTCATATATGACATGAGTTTAGTGAAAGATCCCTCGTAGTACTTAGGCTATATTCATACTCTTTCCTTTAGTCGATTTTTATAGTGGTAAGTTGAAAAGGTCATTTATCAAGATTCAAAGTAAAGGTGATTAATTCTCTTGGAGATTTTGAAAGGTTATTTGTTGACTGCTATTTATCGATGGGGATAATGCTTTATTATTTGGGTAAAAGCTTGCAGTAGAAAATCTTTCAGCCTTTTTATCAAAAAAAGAAAAAGATGCAGTATCAGGATAAATACATTATATCTATATAGGCGCATTGCTTCTGCTGGTTGAGGCTGCTCTGCTATCTCCAACACCCTCCCCTCTGTCAAGCTGGAAGGTGTGATGATGTCATACATCCCCCCAGGTTGCTATATTGTTTGTTTAGGTATAGGGAGTAATTGACTAAAAACTAGTTGATTGAAGTTTCCTCAATTGGATACTGTCGAAACTAGGTGATATAGTCTGTGGTAGACCTCCTTGAAAGAGGATAATATGCCCATTTAATACCTTGCCTTGCAATTCCCACATAGAATAGGATTTTCTGGAATGCATGAATATGAGGTTGCCTAGGTTGATGCATGAACTGACATTAACACCGATTTTCTTAAGGTATAATCCCATAAGTGGGGTCGGCTACATGAACCAACATGAGGACTTCTCAGAGGTCTAGTATCATTGTTATAAATTATTTTGCCTACTATATGAACATTAGGATTACCTGATCAAGTGCCCATACCTTTCCTTTTGTCATTGAGTTGCATTAATTATGTTAATAATGGTATCAATATAGTTTTACTGACATTCGTATTGCTATCCACACCTTGAGTAGCTCCTTGGTGAATAAAGGTGGCCGTGCCCGGCGAGCCCACCATGGCGGTGGGGCGTGCCGTGCTGCCATTTCCACCGGGCCAGCCAGGCACGGCACGGCCCACGTGTCGAGCGTGCCGTGCCGGGCCAGCCCACGTTCCTGGCACGTTCTTCAGTTTCTAGTTTTTTTTTTTTTTTTTTTTTTTTTTTTTTTTTTTTTTTTATATATATATATAAACAATACACTATTTTTTTTATAATTAACTAATTAAGTTTACTTCTTATTATTATAAATTAATTATTAAGTTTATTATTATACTTGTTATTATTATAATTTATTTATTTAATTATTATACTTGTTATTATAATTTATTATTTATACTTGTTATTACTTATTAATATTATAATTTATTTATTTAATTATTATACTTGTTATTATAATTTATTTTTTTATTATTATACTTGTTATTACTTCTTATTATTATAATTTATATTTATTATAGTTATAATTATTTTTTTAATAGTTATAGTTTTATTTATTATAGTTATAATTATAGTTATAATTTATTATACTTTTTGTTTATTATAGTTAATTAGTTATTAACTTATTTTGTTTATATTACTTTTTATTTTCTTAACGGCGAAGATGAAAATTTCAAATTTTAACGGCTAAAAAAAAAAGAGGAAATTGGATTTTGATTCTTTGAATGTGATTAATGCAGACTTCATATTCTTATTACTTGAAATATTACAAATAAATACATACTTCTTAACGTTGGAAGATATAAATTTCAAAAAAAAAAATAAAATTGAAGTATAAATGTTTGATATTAATCTAATAAGTAATAATGATAAATATCGTACAATGATAATGATTTCGTACAAGGATATTATACAAAAATTGTCTATAATTAGAAGTATGTAATCTATTTATAGTTCTTCATCTATTCTTCTTCATCTTCTTCGTCTTCGCGTTCAAGGTCATCGGTTAGAACCCGAACGGTCGGTAGCGGAGGTTCCGTCATCGTTGTCGTTGTCGGTGTAAGTACGGTCTTGTGAGCGATTTTCAGCATCCAACCAATCTTTGAAACACACGCACATTTCAAGTGTTTCGGGTTTTAGTCTTGTTCTTCTATCGTCTAAAACTCTCCCGAATGCGCTGAAAGCTCGTTCGGAGGCAACGGAGGAGACTTGGTTACCAAGAATGTCTCGTGCCATTGCCGCCAAAGTTGGATGCTTCGAGCTTTGTTGTTTCCACCATATAAGGAGATCGAGACTGTTTATCTCATCGTCGTCCATGCCCTTGGTGAAGTCGTAACTCAGATACATTTGCAAGTCCGAGATATCGTTTTGCGTTCTCCTTATTGATGAATCACCTGAAAACCTTGAAATCAAGTTAGTAGCTTGTGAAAATAAATGCTTGGCCTTTTTACTTACGCTTTTGGATGGTTGGGAAGGGTAGAGCGAGGAATGATGCCATATTTGGTTTCATAAACTCTATATAAAGCAAAAAATTGATCCTTCACATTACTCTTATAGGATTCTACACTATCATCATTATCATGCATTGAAAATAAATGTCAACCAACATAAATGTATTTTCATAATTTTGCCTAGGATCTAATATGGAAGCAAAAATATAAATTAAAGGAATTTTAGTATAATATTTAAGCCACTTTATTTCCATTGCTGGAAGATATTGATCATAATCACTTTGGTTGCGATGATCAAAGAAAAGCAGGCGAGTAAACATGCATTTGAAAGAAAGTTTTAAGTACAAGGATTATAAACAAAAGAAAAACAAAATGTCATGTTATTATAATAATTGTAAAAATTGCATATATATTTCACATTTATCCTAATCATCCTCATATAAAGCATTTTGTGGAAATTTTTTGTTGTAAAAAATTGTTAAAGGATTCTTATATTCAATTGTCTTGGTTAACATGTCATAGATGGAATTCCACCTAGTTGGACGATCGGTTTTGATTTTTATTGCTCTTATCTTTTGTTGTCTTAGAAAACCTTTCCATTCTTGGTATAAAGCATTTTGTGGTAATTTTTTGTTGTAAAAAATTGTTAAAGGATTCTTATATTCAATTGCCTTGGTTAACATGTCATAGATGGAATTCCACCTAGTTGGACGATCGGTTTTGATTTTATTGCTCTTATCTTTTGTTGTCTTAGAAAACCTTTCCATTCTTGGTATCTCATGTTTGAGCTATTAATAGACATAATAGCTTCTCTAATTTTGTTATAATATGAACCAATTGCTTTAATTCCATCTTGTACACATAAGTTGAGAACATGGTAAACACATCTAGTATGAAGTGCGTCACCATCTAATATTACATCGGTTAAATTTTGTTTCACTAAATTAGCAGTATATGTCATTGAGGTTATTGAGGTTGCATTGTCAAATGTCATAGATATGATTTTTTCTCTAAGGTTGTATTCATTTATAGCTTCCATTAAATGGTGAGCAATGTTAATACCGGTGTGGGGGTATTCTAGCATTTTGAAATGGATTATTCGTTTTTGTAACAACCATTGATCATCTACTCAATGGCAAGTCACACATAAATAATGATATTTATAACCACTATCCCAAGAATCGGCAGTTAGAGACACTCTACAATTAAGTTTACTCAATTCGTCTTGTAACCGCATTTTGTACTCTAGGAAGTTTTTAATGGCGGGGGAACGAATGGTTTTCCTAGAGATTCTTTTATGTTGGGGTTGTAATGCTTGATTAATATAACTGTTAAATGGGTCACTTTCATAGAAAAGAAAAGGTTTTTCGGCGTGTACTATTATTTTCCCTAGTTCATCTCTATCCCTCTCATAGTTGTAGTCTTGTAGGTAAAGCCTTGTGGATGGAATTGAGAAATTTTTGGCTGGGTTGGATCATTAGATGGTTGTGCACATGTTCTAAAGTGTCTACTTAAGTGTCTCGTCCCGGCCTTGGATGTGGCCGAGTATATTTTATCACATGTTTTACATTTTGCTCTTGTTTGTTCTTTATTTAGCAAAAAATAACTCCATACATCACTTTTGTGGCTTTTAATATTTACCATGTCTTGTTCGGTTAACCATTGCTCTTGTGTGTTTTAGATCAGGTTTGTAGATTCAGGGGTTTGTTGTTGAGTAGTAGACTCGGAGGCAAGGCTATTTAGTTCGCTACCTTGGCTAGTATAAAAATTTTGTGTGTCAAAGAAATTAGGTGGGAATTGACCGAATTGTGGAAATTGGTTTTGTGGAAATTGGGTTTGTGGAAATCCCGGCATATTCATGTCATAGGGTTGAAAACCGGAAGTACCACCATGCCTAAATTGCTCAAAACCTAGGGGGGCGGTTCCGGGGTCATTGGTCGGACTTGGAATTGGGGGGTCATTGGATTAGGTGATTTCCTAGAATTTTTACCACGGACAAATTGGGCTTTCCTAGAGGATGATGGGTTGTTCATGTTAGGTGATGCCATAATTAACAAATTAACAATTTTTATAATAACAATAATAATAATTAATAACAACAATTATAACAATAACAATAATTATTAATAACAACAATTATAACAATAATAATAAGTAATAACAACAATAATAAAGATTAGTTAGATCTTACAACCGTGCTTCAACGCTTTCCACTAATTATGATTACGAAATTTTAATTTTTTCGATATTAAATTATTAATAAATAATAATTAGAGAATATAAGAGATTAAGAAAGAGTTGAGTTGTGATTTGGAATTGTGGAAAATGGGGTATTTATAGTGATTTTGGCCAAAATAGCCGTCGGAGGGAATTGGGAAGAAAACGGCTAGTATAGCCGTTGGGAAAAGCTGGCAACGGTCATATTTTCCGGGCGGGCCTGGCCGGCCGCCCGTCATGCCAAATGACGGGCCAGCACGGTGGGCTCATGTTGGGCCGTGCCATTTTTTTTACCTTGCACGTGGCACGGCCCATGGCACGCCGGACGATGACCGTGCCGGGCCGCCCGCAGGTTGGCACGGCCCGTGCCCAGCTTTATTGGTGAACAACTGAACTTTAGTGGTAATACATTCTACTTTAGGTTAAGGAAATAGCTGACCTAATTATTTTTTCTACGGAAAATAATCATGCAAATATTGTTTTGAGTGCTAATGGGTATAATTTTATTTATGTTTTTAATCACCACAAGGATATTCAAAAGAGTGATCAATTTTTGAACTCTGCAAACCGCTGAATTTTGATACCTTCAATTTGCCTGGTTACAATATCCTCAAGGCTTGTTTAGAGTCGTAAACAGATTTCGAGAGCCTGCAGACTTCATTTCTCTGGGTTATTCTCACCTTTTGGTATGTCAAACAATTTGTCTCTCAAATTGCGATGAAGAGTTACATTGTTTAAATTTAGTTGAAATCTTGGCTAGCCTCTTGGAGCTGCTAAGGCAATGAGACATCTGCTTGTGGCCATGTTTATGGCTGGTGAAATCAGTTTTTCAAAGTCTAAACTCTATAGTCGTCTATACAAATATACAATGCATTTAAGTGTAATCTTTTGATATGAATATAGCCTTGTAGCTTTTAGAAATGCCACTTGCGGTATATAGCTCTTTCACTATTGAATCAACATAATGGGGATCAGTCAATACATGTGTTTCTAAACAAAAAGAAAAGGTTCAGAAAAGGTTAGATCTGAGCTATGAAGTTTTTATGTTTGGTGGCAGCCAATGAAACTGAACAAGATTGATTCAGTGAGAAGTGGCTGGTTCTGAGCTTTTTCTTAATTAAAAAATAGTTCATGATGTGCAAGAGACTTGTGTGCTCTGCATGACCTTCTTAGATCCAGAATTGTCCATTGTTAAGAAAATTCTGATTTGTATTCATAGAATGTTTTGTGGTGGAAGATTTTTCTGATTAAATTAATCTCGGTGGTGTTTGAAGACTGAAAGAAAAAATGTTTTTGTAGGGAGAGGAATTGTCTCGAAAATATATATATTCATCACATCTGACAGCAAATAGAAGGGTTAGCTAAATGACAAGTGTTTCTGAAACTCAAATCTCCTGGAATTTGATTGTGGCTAGCTTATGTACCTTGCAGTTCACACTCCATTTTATCATATGGATATCCAAATAAAAACTTAGGTGTTTATAATAAAGGAGGCCAAAGGGTGTAATATAGCCAATTTAATTTCTGGTTAATATAACCTTTCTTAAGGTTTCAAACTTTGTGAAATGTTTTTGGGAGTTGTGCCATCACTTGGCCGGGAATTGTTTTATCAGAAACACAAATAGTAGAGCCATCTCCTGCTGAAGTTCTTTTCTCTCCTTTGATGAAAGAAAGCATTTTTAATGATTAGAAGTTGAAATGCAATTGATAAACCTGTCGGATCTTTCACCTTGGTGAGTCAAATTATTATCCAAATGACAACCAGCAGTCAAATTAGCAGACTTCTGAGTCAGCTTAAAAGCAAGTGCGAAAAGAGAAAAGCAAGCTGACATCAGAGCTGTTTAATGCAATAAAACTAAGAATATAGAATAAGCGTCTCTTCTACCTCCATCATAACAAGAAAACAGGGATTTTGATTTTTCTGCTATAGCATGAACTACCACATCAAGTACTGAACCCTGAAGTCTAACCTTTCTAGTTCTGTAATGGTTCCTTATTCTAATTATTTAGGGTGGTTGGAAGAGGGGAAGGATTTTGCGGTACTTTGGTAGCTTGATGAGCTTGGCAATTTAGAACCAAAATCCACGATATCCAAAACCATATTTTTTTGTTGCTCATTGATCTTAAGTCTTCTACTCCATATTTGATTCACTGGCCAGTAAACCTAATGGTGTTACTGGAATCAATCTAAAGCAGATTTCGTCCCTGTCAAAAAATGTTTATATGTCAAAAAATGTTGTGCATGGGAAGAAATCAAAGAATGCCTTCGCTAGTCAATACTATTCTAAAACTTATAGGTATTGCTTAAACTTTTTCGGCACACGCATTTAGTTGATGACTTTATATGCATCGTATTTTCCTTGTGCTAGGAAGGTCTTTTGTGATGAAGTTACTCACAGAAGTAGTGAGCTCTGAGCATCTGATGCTATATATTGAAGAAGGTGCATGTAAAAGGTTTGCTAATTTTAATAAGAGGATTGTACTGGGAAGAATCCACCCCTTGAAGTGTGGTTACTTGTAGTTAGCTTGACTTATGTGATGAACTGCTAGTTATATCCAACCTTCTAATTCTTCTTATTCTTACTTTTGTTCATTAATAATTGAATAAACTGTCTGAATAATTAATTTAGCTAAGGAACTGACCTGATTTCTAGCAGGCAGCTGGCTTTTAAGATGTAATTTGGTAGATTTAACAAAATTTATGTCTTTGGGTTACTCTGTAGGGATTGCTTGTTCTTTTGCTGCAATATTTTTCTTGGCTGGTTAATATATACCTTTTCTTAACAAAGAAATAAATTATTTAATCCTGTATAAAGAAATTTCTGGGTGGACCCTTAGTTTGAATTTTTTCTTTTGATTTTGATGGGAATTATAGAAGAAAGGGTTAAAGGCAGCGTACATATTTGTTCATTTTTCTAAGTGAACTATTTTCTCTTTCTTTGCATAGCAATGATTGTGATACTTATTGCTTACGTGTGTCAAACTGTACTTAGGTGTACGCTACCTTGAGAAAGCTGTATTCAATGTTGATTATGGGCAACTGAAACTTGTCTTCCATGCCCTTAAGGAACGCAAACAGCTGATAGATAATGCTCCACATCTGTGCCACTCTTTACCATGCATGACCCCATGCTTTGGATGGTTTGAAGTGGTATACTACTGGGCGGGATTGAAACTATATGATCTAGTTGCAGGGGCAAGATTGCTACATCTATCAAGATATTACTCAGCACAACAGTCTATTGAGCTCTTTCCCACTCTTACAAGAATGGGAAATGATAGAAGTTTAAAGGGCACTGTAGTGTATTATGATGGGCAGATGAATGACTCTCGACTCAATGTTGGTTTGGCATGCACAGCAGCATTAGCTGGTGCCTCTGTGCTTAATCATGCAGAAGTTGTTTCATTACTTAAGGATGAAGTTGATGGGCGGATAATTGGTGCAAGAATACATGACAATCTCTCTGGTATGTATGATAGATTCTATTCACATGTTGCCAAAACTATCTTAAGTTGCATAGAAGTCTGTTTAAATGTCAATTACTGTTCTATAATATCCTCTTCATGATTTTAGAATTTCATCTTTTGATCGAATGCTGTCTGAGATGTTGCTCACATTTATTGCTGTTTAACACTTTTATTGCTATCCCCTAATTCCTGCATCTACCCATGCTTCCTTTCTTAAGTTGGTGATGCATTTGAATTCCTTCAGCTTGCTTAATTTAGTATATATTAGTTATTGCATTTGTGTTTAATAGTGACTACTATCATAGCATTCATATTCTACTGTGTAAAGTAATAGTTGCGTTGGTATTGTAAGGGAAAACTTATAATGGAACAAAAAATGAAGCTGGTTAATTTGACACGAAGGGTAGGAGTACTACTTGATATATGATGGTATAGGTGTGTGATTAAATCCCTTTAGAATTTCAAAATATTCTTCCATGTTCTTAAATCAATAAAAGCTTACCTTTCATGCCATTTCCTTCTCTCTATTTTGTGTGGTATTGTGGGCATGAAAAGAAGTAATTCTTTGAGATGAAATTTTATAGTGGATAGTGTTAGTCAACAAAAGTTATTGATGTTTATTGTGCAAACACTTTTTACTAGTAAATGATTGAACTCTATAATTTTGAGGCTTCTAAACCCTATGCAATTGTCCTTTGCCCAGATCTTATCTAGACATTATCTCTATCCCTTACAATCTTCATTTGAAAAAATTATGTAGTGATAATTAATTGTTTCTTTATGGTCCCAGCACACTTTCCACTGTTCACTTCTGTGATTGGCTCTTTCTCCACTTGCCTATGATTTTCCTCTCTTCACTTTCATAATCCCTCCTCCTCCCTTCTCTTTTTTTTTTTGTGTAGGCTCTGTGTCTGTGCCGCCTGTGTGCATTTGAAAGTCCTCCCTTATCTTTTTTTTGTGTAGGCTCTGTGTCTGTGCCGCCTTTCCCCACATTAGAATGTACATTTGTAAAGGAGATAAGGTTTGAGGGATGCTCTCACTGGTAGAAGAAGGGTTAAAGGAGCCTGCTGCCTGTAAGGTTGCCAGCAGGCTGGCTGCAAGGACTGAGGAGGTGTCATTGTAAGCATAATGACAAGAAAGTGGAAATCTTTGGGGTTTCTGTTTGCATTCATGGGTAGGATTGAGGAAGTGGAAGATCTGATTGGTTAGGGTCCATTGTCTTGGATGACACCTCAGGTTTGTAGGGAACCACGAAGGACAGTGATTTTAATAGGATATGAGTCATATGATTCTAGGCCTTGGAACTTTAGATGTAACGCCCTAAAGACTTCAATAGCTAATCCTTCTGACATTCACAGTAAGAGCATCTTTAATGTTAAGCTACAATGCCTCGTAGATTGCTTTACCACCTCAATTTTTAAGCTACAACACTTTTTAGCTACTAAGTATTCTAATGGTGAGCTACAACATCTTCTAGCTTGCAAAAAATAAAATATAAAAAAATAATTTAATTGGTTTTACACATCATAATATGAGTGGAGTTTGGTTGCCTCTTTCAATCAAGCATGTAGCTTGTTTGGGCTACGGTAGCTTGCAAGTTGCTCATTTTTATTGTTCTCCAATGGTAAGCATGTTGCTACGCATTATATTTATGTAGCAAGCAAGTCCTTACAATTAACAATTGGAGATGCTCTAAGCTTCGTACTTCTTGTGAGGCTATAACATCTCCAAGGAGCTTCACTTTGTATGGAAAAACCTGAATAGCTCTATATATTCTCATTTTGTAGTGCATATATGTATTTAATTTGTTTATAATGCATATAAATTGTTTCTGGTATTATTCTTACATGCTAGTTAATCAGGAGAGGAATTTGATACATATGCTAAAGTTGTGGTAAATGCTGCTGGGCCTTTTTGTGACTTTGTTCGGAAACTGGCTGATAAGGCTGCGCCACCAATGATATCTCCTAGCAGCGGAGTACATATTGTTCTCCCTGACTACTACTCTCCAGAAGGGATGGGGTTAATTGTTCCAAAGACTAAGGATGGACGTGTTGTATTCATGCTTCCATGGTTGGGAAGGACATTAGCAGGGACTACAGATTCTAATACTGCCATCACAATGCTGCCAGAACCACATGAGGATGAGATTCAATTCATATTGGACGCTCTCACTGATTACCTCTGTATCAAGGTTAGTGTCATTGTCTCTGTACACATGTTTCTAGAACTAGCCTAATAGGGTTAGCCTTGTGATTTACTGGGCCTTTATATCACTGCATGTTCAGTGTGAAGTGTTAACACACCAGTAGTGAAATGTGTTTTAAGAAAAAGGAGTTTACAATGATTGGGGTCAATGTATAAAAAAGCTCAAGGCACACCCTGGTGATTCAGAGTTCCCTGCACGTTAGGCGCACCTCTGTTGTGTGCCTCAGCTTCGCTTCATTGAAACCGCTTTGCCTAGATGCTAGATCATTAAAGGCGCATGACCCCTAACTCCTTGCATCTCACTACCTCAGGCATGCATTTTCAAACACTGATTGACTGTAGGCATGTTTAAAACACACACCTAGGTGATGCAATACAATATTATACCGTGCCAATTATTATCCTAATTGCCGTTGACAAGGATTTTATCAAAGTGAGGTTTTGGGTAGTAGGACTGGGTCAGATTAGATAACTTTACCTATATGATAGCAATACTTTTTTCAGCCTTAGTACAATTTGATGTACTCCCTATACTTTTTTTGTTTGTTCTATTTTCTTTTCTTTTAGCACAGTTTTCAATGCAATATTGTAATTTAAATATCTCAAGTTATATATTACAAAAATATATAATTATTACATATTTGAAAACTAAATATCGAGATGAATATACCAAGATCCCACATGATCGTGTTTGGAAGTATTAAAAATCGTTAAATTGTTAGATTTCATCTTTCATGGAATCTATCAAGATTTCAAATAGGACAAACATTAATGCACGTAAGGAGTACTGTGTAGTATGCTAGTGAAATTGATTAGCCTTTTAATTGGCAGAAAATAACAAACCTCAACAACAACAACAACAACAACAATTTGAGATTTTATGAGAAACATTAGAAACTTAATGATGATGCATCATAATACATAAGTCTTTTGTATGAATAAGAAGTTAAGAACAGTGGAGTTTATGATATTTCATGGACAACTTACCGTTTACGTGAGTTATTTCAAATAAAATAAGGTTAGGTTAGCTTAACCAAAATAAGTTCAGTTAATTTATCGAATAAAATAAGTTAAGATAACTTTAGACAAAATCAAATTAAGATAAATCTTAACAAAACATGTTCATATAATATTATCTACTCCTTTTGTTTCCAAATGTTTGTCTCATTTGGAATCTTGATAGACTCCATGGAAAATAGAATCTTTTAATTTAACTTTTTTTTATAATTCAAATAAGAAGTCATGTGGGGTTTTGTTAGATCCATCTCGATTTGTAATTTCCTAATATATACATAGTAAATTTTATACTTTTTATTATACGTAGCTTGAGATAATTACAATATTGCATTAAAATCCGTGCAGAAAGCAAATGGGACAAACATGGTAATGGCGGGAGTATATTTATCTACTAAAATATTAGTTATCAATCTAACATATATTTTACATTTATAACAATCCATATTTTATTAAATTTATGTTTTATCAAATTGGTAATTTGATTTATTAGGATGTAACAATTAAGAAATTGGCTGTCAGATCCAATTTATTTGAAATTCCAAATTTAATAGTTGTAACAAAGAGCTGCATTTTTGTTGCTTTAACTGATCAATTATCAAAAAATTCATTTACAACTGTTGATGTAAATATAAGTTGTAAGACTGGTAACAGTTTCTGTTGAGTTCAGATAAGTCTAGACTAAACAAGTTCCAATAAAATAAGTTCATACTAAAAGAGTCAAATAGGACAGACCCTTAACAATTTAATTGGTCAATTAATAACATTGTGCCTTGTTTTTTTAATCATGGAAGTTTGGGACAATGTTACTATTATTCCTGTGCACTCTTAATTATCTGAATTGTGTTGGGTGAAGAAGCATTAGTGTAAATTCCTGAAGGTAGACCATATATTTTAGCCATATGTTTAGCCAAACATTTCATAACTTATATTTAGATTGGTGCTTATTTTGGTTGATTTTTTTATATTGAAAGTAAGATTGATTTTTTATTGTTTGTACTTCATTATTTTTATTTATTTTTTTACAAAAGGTTATTCCACAAGGATCAATATAATCCTGACCAGCTCTGTATTTTTGAAGTCTTCCAATTTGTTGTTGGTGAATAAGATTGTTGAGCTGCTTTTACACAAATGATGCACCTTCTTTAGTCTTTTATGTAGTTACTTCTGTTTGATATCTTAATATAGAAGCTTTTTCTATTTTTATGTTGTAGCTGTAGTTTCTACTACCTGCCCATGAGGCCTTGACATCATTCTGAAGATAGTTTTTAGTTTCTTGGATTTAGACCAGCTGGTGATGGCAAAAAAATACTAGTTTTGGTAATTTTGTTTATCTGTTTATTTGTAATAGGTACGCCGAACAGATGTTCTCTCTGCATGGAGTGGCATTCGCCCGTTGGCTATTGATCCAAGAGCCAAGAACACAGAAAGCATATCTCGTGATCATGTTGTTTGTGAAGATTTCCCTGGTCTGGTTACCATCACCGGTGGAAAATGGACCACATATAGAAGGTATTTTATTTCTTGTGTGTTGGTAAAATTTTGCTCTTCAATTTTCATTCTTTGTCTAAATATCCATATTGCTGTGGAATTTGATTCCGATTCTTTGATATGGGCAATCTTTGTGGTCTTGAGTGAGCTCTGATTTTTGCTCTGAAAATTGTGTTCTGATGCTTTTAGTGAGATGTTGTTGTCATATATCTAGAATATTAGCTAGCTTTAACCTATCACTGTAAACTTGTATTTTATGCGATGCACAAAAGAAGCAAAAAAAAACATTGCAAGACTGAACATTACTATATTGCAAAATTCTTGCGATTAGATGTAAATACAACTTTTAACATCTTTAGGCCACCTTTTTGGTTAGCCTCAAGTGAATGGCTGAACTTCATGAGACCATCTTTTTGTTATGTAATTTCTAAAGTCCCATGACAATGTCCATAAACATGCTTTTTCCTTCTTAAAAATCTCTTTATTTTTCATAAATTTTCATTACCAAGAGGTGTTATTGAGTGGAAGTGAAGAAATCTATGAAGGAACATACGAATAGGATTTTCTATTATCATAGACATTGACATTGCTTTACAAAATATTTTTTTACTCCCTCAACGCAGTCAATCTTGGCACACATGCCAATGTGTGAGTTTGACCATTAATATATATATATATATATATATATATATATATATATATATATATATATATATATATATATATATATATATATATTTAAAGTTAGTATTCCTTAAAAAAAAATTACATGATTATAATAGTTTTTCATACACTACTCAAAAGTATATGTGTTATGAAATAAGCGACATTGTATTTGATTTGTGCGAAGCAATAATCAATGATATACTCAAAGTGAGAAAGCAGTAAAGAAGATAATCAAAACACACAAAGATTTACGTGGTTTGGTCAACTAGACCTACTCCACAATTGGGGGATTTGTGAGCTTTTCTTCACTGTAATGGAGAGAATAATAGGAATATACAAGGAGTCTCTATTGGCTTAAAGGCTTAGATCAGCCAATGTGTCTTTTTTTAACATAAAGGAACCTTAAAGAAACCCTAAATTACTTCCCAAATATAATCCTAGTAGTCGTCAAAGGCGAAACCTAATATTAGGAAACATTAAACAAATATCGTCACAAAGATGAAAAACTGCCAATTGGGGCATGTGAGAACGCGTAAACCTTGAAGTCACATGCAACTCTACTTGCAACACTTAACCTTGAGAGCCTGCTCTCCTCTAGGCTCTACCACTCTAGCTATTTCACCAATGTTTTTTTTTTGTTTTTTTTGTTTTTTTTCTTGGAATGGAATAGGGAGGAGTGATTTCATTAAATAATAATAGTTGTTCGGCACTTACAATCATCCCTTAAGAGATCTAAATTCTCAATACAAGTATTTAACACCTCTAAAGTAATGGCATTGCTTCTGAACTGCTCCTGAATAATTTTAGATGTCTTTGCATCGTTCTTGACGGAGCTCCATTGATGTATAGTCGCGAAAGTGATAAAACTTAATTGGTCATCAAGATAAGCAAATTTGTAAGACAAATCTTCTAAATCTGCACCCTTAAACCAACAGATGTATCCCTGCTCACACGAAAAACAAACAAATAAACAATACTAAAAATCCCACCATTAGGGAACCAACTAAACCCTACTTGGAGGGACTACTATAATCACCCTACTGTTGGTGATTTTTATTGGCTAAAAACATTAAATTAAAGATGAATTTGGGGCTTACCATCGATAAAATCGATGGCAACCCCTAAGTTTTACATGGCGGCTAGGTTTGAAGAGAGAACAGAGAATTTTTTTACCACTGCTTTTTTCTGCGTGCGTTTGAGTCTTCCTGAATTTCTTCGCGCACGGAGATACTAGATTATGAATCATGGTGTAAAATCTCGGCCGCTTCGTCGCGTTGCGGACGCACTGTAACGGATTTCAGAGCTACCTTTACGAGATTTAGCGAGTTGTAATGGGGTTTTATAAAACAACGAGATTTTCACTGCGACAACTGAGTTTTGACTGCGACAACCGATTTTTCACCGCGACAACTGTATCTTGAAGGAATCATCCGCATTCTAACTTTCAAAAGGCCCCAACATCACCCTTCACCCCTTTATCGGTTTATCCCCAAGACCCCAACATTCTTGAGAGTGAAAAAAATAACAACCGGGGATAGAACATTGGCGCCGGCCGACGAAAGAACCATTCCATCGTGTTTTGCTTGAGCTTGAGGTTGAAGATGAGTTTCAGAACTTTAAACTTTAGAGAAATAGAGAGAGAAATGTAATTTGAGATTTTGACTATTATGTGGGAAATTAGTAAAAGACTTTGACTAGCTGTCACTTGCTAACTTTCTTGGGAGTATACACTCCAATGAGTTGTAGCCCACTACTCAAGATTGTCAAGAATCACTCCTATTTCTGTAAGTATGCTTGTTTAGGCAATTTTTGTTTTGTTGTTTTTTTTTTTTTTTTTTATAGTTAAATTTTTAGATAAGAGTTAAGATTTTTTATGCTATAATTCTTATACTACGTATTAGTTTAAGTAAGCTATTTGAGAATTATATGTAGAATTGTAGACCTTTATCTTTTTAGAAATTGTTTAGAAAATTTTGTTACATTAATATTTTTTTAATTATCGTATTAGACTAGTAGATTAAAGTTATAAACAATTATATAATATTGCTCTCTATCTATTCATAATAAAATCATTAAAAATAAAGAATAATATGTTTAAAAATAAAAATAAAACGTAAAAAATGATAAAAAATTAATAAATACATTTACCGGTCATAAAGATATACAACTAATTAAAAAAAATGGCTTTAAATATATGAATTCCAATTATAATTACAATTATAATTCATATTAATTACAAATATACATATTTTGGGCTTCAATTTGGTAAAAAACACCCTTAAAATACTCTAAAACTAAAATTCTGCCGCGACGACCATTACCTAGTCTGTGATGGCCACACCAATACTGACACCGCGATCGCGACCGCGACCGCGTTTTTATTCTATGTTATGAATCACACCGACAATATTATTAGTACAAAAGTCAAAGTGTGTCATACGGAGGAGTATAAATTTGTTACCATTACCACTAACAAATGGATTTTAAGGATCTTCATGGTATGGATGCCTTTTCTTGGACTTTTGAATAGTTTTAGTTTTTGTTATATGGTGGGGTAAATATGAGGCTTGCTAAGTCTCTTTGCCAAATTTTCTCTGGATACAAAAACTGAAACATGTATATATGCCTTGGTGTCAAATTCTATTACTTAATTCTTTATCAAAATTTTACATGTTTTTGGCTTTAAATGTATTGTAAACGATTTCCCAAACTTGCATCAAGAATTCAACGACTATAAGTGAAATGAAGAGTACTGTAGCCATGGAATCAAAACTTGACTTACCGTCACTGTTCTGAATGGATTTGAATTTGCCGCTCTGAAACTTCATTACAACACTGATAAAAATCACATCTTCCTGCCTGGTCCATTATGAAACTGTGACTCATTGCCTTTTCTCTCTTTGTTTTTTTTTCCTTGTGTCCGTTTTTGTCAAAATTGGCTTGAAACATTTCAATTATGTTGATAAAACTTGTTATGTTAAGAAATTAATCTAATTATCCTTCTATATAACCCACTCATGTTATGATAGGATTACTTATATTAAATTGAAAAAATACTTCTAAAACCATCAATTTGTTATTTTTTTTGAATAATTTTCATACCCTGTGTCCGCTACCAGTTCAATCCATTCATCATAAGTCACTTATACGGCTATTACCACTAGCACGGTCACTTCTGCAATTCTTTTGAATGACTACAGTCTACAGGTGCATAGCTTTTGTGGCAATGTAAAAAAAAAAAAAAAAGGTTAGAGAAAATAAAGTACTAGTTGTGCGTATCTTCTAAACACGACTTAGACAATTTGAGGTAAATTCTGGGTGCTGGTGGTGTTCCTTCTCTAAATTAGAATAATATTTTTTTTTGTAAATGTATTATTCTCTTCGTCACCTATGCTTGGGCTCTATATGGCCTCACCCTTAACTTTTTTTAAGCATTAACTGCTGCTGTACTCTCTGGCTCTTTTAAAATTTGTTGTTATGGTTGCTTTAGCATGGCTGAGGATGCTGTTGATGCTGCAATTAAGGCCGGAAATCTTAAAGCCAATGAATGCATTACTCACAACTTGATACTTACTGGTGGCCATGGTTGGGATCCTGCCAATTTTACTGTTATTGCTCAACAGTATGTCCGAATGAAGAAGACGTCTGATGGAAGAGTCGTTCCTGGTGTCATGGACACTGCTGTAGCAAAGCATTTATCGCAAGCATATGGTACATTGGCTGAGCGGGTGGCTTCAATAGCTCAGGTTAAAGCTTTGATCACCCTATATTTTGTCATTTACTTGATTTCTTCTTTCTTATTTTTGCCCTGAATCTAAGCATTAAATGGATTTCATAAAATGGTATAATAATTTGGGAATTCATGACAAAAATACACGTTGATCGGTGTAATTGATTTTTATTTACTCTAAAAAAAATTAAAAAAAAAAAAAAAAAAAAATCCTTTTTTAGCTTCTTATTTGTAGCCCTTGGGCTATGTTAATCATTTTCCTAAATTTTAAACAAAATACTCTGAACCAAACAGAGGTTGAGAGACCGCCAAAACAATTTGATGTGTGCACCATGTAACCTGTACTATTTGGTTATATGCCCCCTCAAAATTTTCCAATTGTCAACTTGTACTAAGAAGAGTTACTAGATTTATTGGTTAATTCAGATGTGAGATACTTATTTCTTTTCTTTTATCTTCAGAATGAAGGTTTGGGCAAGCGCCTTGCCCACGGATACCCTTTCCTTGAAGCAGAAGTAGCTTACTGTGCTCGATATGAGTATTGTGAGTCTGCAACTGATTTTATTGCTCGAAGATGTCGGCTTGCTTTTCTTGATACTGATGCAGCTAGTCGGACTCTGCCCCGCGTCATTGAAATACTAGCAGCAGAACATAATTGGGATAAATCGAGAAAGAATGATGAGTTTAAGAAGGCTAAGGAATTCCTGGAGACCTTCAAATCATCAAAAAATGCTCAGTTTCATGACGGTAAACATGAGTAGGATACCTATTTCTATCTTCGATTTACTTTTTGGATTACAGAAGTACTCAAGAATTTCTAACTATTGGCAAAATTCTTGGCATTGCCCTGCATCTTTTGGTCAAGATTGGTTCTTCGCCAAGTCTTCCATAGGGCCAGAAGTTGACCCTTTTACAAATAATGAAACATAATCCCATACTATATTACTGGATTCTGTAAAGTCTAAACCACACATAAAACTGTAAATGCATTTTTTACTTGTAGCAGTCAAATGCATCTTTTCTGACATTAGATAGTAGCCTAAGATTACAATTCTCATCTCAAACGATGGCCTTTTTTTTTTTTTTTTTTTTTTTTTTGGGGGGGGGGGGGGGGTCTGAGTGCTGCTAAAGTAAGCTGCCATTCGACCCCTTTCATCTAGTTCGAAAGCAGCGGATGTACTAACCATCTTGATCTTTGAATTATGTACTCCGTAGCTTATACTATGTTAGTGATAAATCTGATAGTCGTAGTACATGCGACGCATATGGATAGGTATTTTAAAGTGTGTCCTTTGTGCTGATTTAAATTTCGGTATTGCCTTTATTCATGCTATTATGTTGTCCTTGAACTGTCAATACAATATCATGGTGGCCCAACACCATCAGACAGCGAAAAGAAACTCAGGTAGGATTGTAGAGTTTTGCGCCAAAAATCATCTCAGATGCTTGTTGATTTTTGAAATTGTAATGTGGAACAAGTTTTTGGTGCAGACTTAGACTTGGTGGAGGGTGAACGTCAAGTTTTTTTAATTATTGTTTTTGTTTAACGAGGAAGGATAATTAGGCGAGATTGTTTATTTATTGGTAAGAAAAATCTTATTAAACAAGCAGCCTCTCACAAATTAGTCAATTTAGCTATATAGGTTAATACTTGAGAGTAATAAGGGAAGGTAAGATATTAAGAGAATCACCTACTTCCAAGCATGTACGGTGAATTGGTAGGGCTCGAAAATACAACCTCAATGTCCTTTCCTTTTTCTTTTTTTTTTTTTTTTTTTTTTTGTGGAAATAGGGAATGCAAAACAATCTATTCAAAAATGTCATTTTTAAGCATATAAACCAAACAAGCCAACAAACAAATTCTAAAGAAAAAAGAGAGATGTACAAATCTGGCTTAATCATTCTAAGTTAGTTTAATTTATTATATGTTGTAATATATATATATATATATATATATATATATATATATATATATATATATATATATATATATATATATATATATATATATATATATATATATATATATATATATATCTTCAAGGATTCAAGCTTTAAATTAACCAACTTCAAATTCTAGATCTTGAATGATTTGTATTAAAATTTTGAATCGGGTAATTTTAGTTGGTTCTATTCAGAATAATTACTATCCAAACTTGAGGATGACTTCATACAAAATGCCAAGAATCAATTACACAAGTCATAAATCTTAGGTGGAACTTATCCTAAAGTCTAAATAACAAGGGAGTTAGTAAGTAATCATCATTGAATAATTGTCTTTGTTATATTGATATTGATCCAAAGTCACCATGTGCATATCATCATCACATGAATTCTCTACAAAATGGATAAAACAAGATTAGTCATTTAATAGATGATACGTGGTTACTTATAATTAATTTTATAAAACGACATTTAATTGATAGGAAAGAGTGACAAGTAGTTGCCTTAGCTACGTAAGTCTAGTCATTCATCTATCATCTACACCACCATATATAACTTCATTGAATAAATAAATTAGATTGTGTAAGCATAAGTTCGGTCGCAATATTAGAAATTTCGTGACTTTTCACTAGTTAGTTTTTTTATTTAACAATTAATGTTGATTACTCCGTATGATTCACGATTTCCTAATGTATTGTAAGAGGATCTTTTATGTTACGTTGAGAGGGATATAATAGGACGATCATATTATGCAACAAATTGAATTTGTATAGTTCATAAGGACAAAAAAGATAATTTCAAAAGACAAGATGTGTAACTGACTTGACTCAAATTGGTCTGATACTAAAGATATATCGATGTCTAAATCTAATTTAAAATTGGATGATTTGAAATTAAGTCATAATTGTTTAGAAAGGGGAATAGAGGATGGACTCAAAACATAAATTAACCTTTCTAACTAGAAGTTCCTTCACCTGAATACGACTTGACTTAAATATAAACTAAATGAACTTACTACCTCCTCATTCCTACTCAATTTTCATAAATAGATAAAACCAGTTTGGTTGAAATGATCAGAATGAAATTCCATTACTATTGTGCCACTTTATTATATTAACCAAAAATATACAACATTGAATTCTAGAGTTTTCACTGTGATCATAATGGCGTTTAAAACTCCAACCTATAATCATCAAACATAGGTTTCTATGGTATTTATTTCGAAAATTTGTGATGAAATTACACTCCATACATTTTTTGGTGTTACAAGTTTTTATGGTTTCCTCTTTAAACTCCTACCCATGACCATCAAATATATGTTCCTAACTTTGGATTTAATAATGTAAACTGTACTTGTTCAACCTATGTACTTGTTTAATAATAAAATCGAGTGTTACGTAATAGTTGAGATATTTTGACTTAAGGAATTGATGGGCTATGATAATAAAATTATTTCTTAATGCGGTACTCCCTCCTTCTCGCTAGTTCTCACAATTTAAATATTTAGTTTCTCATTTGAGTTGAATTTGCGCAATATAATAATATCAATTTTATTTCCCTCCCTTTTCTATTTCTTTTGCTTTGCTCACTTTTTCTTCTTCTTTTTCTATACACGTGATAGTTCCATTGACAATAATTTAAAACTCTTCCAAAACTATATGTCCAAGAAAATAAGAAGTATTTTACTTTCTCTGTTCCTTATTGTTTGCACCATTTGATCCAAAAAGTGAGTTCATAGTACAAAATAAAAAGGAATCGAGGGAATATGAGATAGAAGAATTATTACATAAGAATAACATTTAAACTCATAAAAGGAGCTGTCGGTCCAAACGAAAACATTATAGTAATTTGAAATGTGGCTCAATATATTTGGCTGATACGTGAATATACCATGAGTCGTAATCATGAAGCGCATATTATGGCCTAGAAATGAAAGCGATATAATGAGTTCAAAGAAACATTTCTTCAAGAGACTTCTTTAAGCCTAGACAATTGAGTTGGATGCATAATGGGCCCAATCAAATCAATCAACAAGGGCTAACAATTTTAAAAGTAGGAAAAATAAATTCAATCTTCTAAATCAATTTAAGCATTGAAATTGAAATTTTATCTTTAATGTAATTCTGGTAATATAATGCATAATATGAATAGTCTGATTTAACAGCGTTTGAAAGTTTCAATTTTCTTTTCAGAAAGGAATATGTATAATCATTTTTCATCATGAATTAGTATATAAGAGGTGACTATATATAAAAATGATAAAAACATTTTTATTAACCTTGACAATTTGACATCAATTAACATTCATGGTAAATATTGCATCATGGATTTCTTTACAACACATGTAAACAAAACAAACAAATACTTCCATATATACATAAGCACATAATTGTACTTACACATACATCAAAATGAAAAAACTCTTAACCTCAAAACCCACAATACTCGCAATATTACAAAACATTTTAAAAAATACACAAGCCATACACATTTTATCTTTTCCTTTGTCTTTTTTTAAACATCAAAATAAAAACAAAGTACCTAATTTTATTAAAATTAAGCATAGTCATCATAATTACTTTAGTAACCCTCCTTTTTCTCCTCATGATCCTTCTTCTCCTCAGCACCATTCTTGGAGTGGAAGCCAGGGATTTTGTCCTTGATCTTGTCCAAGAAGCCCTTCTTATCCTTATCACCCTCAACACTCGGCTCGGCCGGAGCAACGACCTCGTGCTCCTCGGCCTTATCCTTATGTTGACCGGGCAGTTTGTCCTTGATTTTGTCAAGGAAACCACCCTTCTTTTCCTCCTCTTGGTGGTGATGTTCAGGTGCAGGGTAAGATGGCTCAGAGTGTACATGATCTTGTACGTGGATCTTCTCGATTGGCACGTTTGTTTCATGATCATGTTCATCTTTGTGTCCTCCTAGTTTTTCCTGCATATTCTCCTTCAAGCTTTGTTTCTTCTCTTTCTTTTCCTTCTTTTTCCTCTTCTTCTCTTCATCATCTCCTTCTTCATCAGACTGCAAATTAAGCAAATAAAATTTATTATTAGACAAAAGTCAAAAACACCGATTGACACTTTGATATTGTCGTAAAGTTCTAGTATAATACAAGCATCATCTGTGTTGTTTTCTTCATCTTATTTTATTAGACTTTATTGGACTTAATCAGCCTCGATTTCACTTTTATATTTTTTTTATACTCGATTGAACCTAACCAGACATGATTAGCCTAAAACTCATCTACTCCAAATTTTTAAAGTTACTCTAATTAAGGTGCACATATCAAAATTGTTAAAACAATAGTAACCATATATCAAGTTAAAAAATTAAACAATATACATGACACAGTAAACATTTAATCGATGTTTAACGTGATCTAATAGGATTGCATATATCAAAACCGTAAAGAGTTAAAAAGAACATACGGAGCTAGAGCTAGAGCTATGAGAGCGATGGAATTTCTCAACAAGTCCACCATGTTTCTTCTCCTCAACGGGTTCGGAGACGTGCACGTTCTCCATACTGGAGGTGACGGTATCGGCCTCGGACGGCTTGTGACCGTCACCATCCTTCTTCTTCATGAAATCAAACATGCCACGATCAGTGGTCTCCACGGGTGCCTCATAGTTCCTCTCATCAGCCATATTTGCTAGCTAGACTAGAAGATAAATTGATCACACCAAATAAATAAATGTAACGCTTATACAATTATATGGTATAAAAACTTTGGTTTATAAAATAATATGATATGAAGTGATCGAATGAAGGGGGTATAAATAGTAGGAAGGGATAGTATTAGTGTAGAAATGAAGTGATACTTCTCGTGGTTTGATGGGTTTGCTTTTTAGTGTGAAGGGGGCGTTACCGGTTTTTATAACGTTATTTTTTGCGCACAACCAAGTTTAATTCTTTTTTACTTTTTGGTTTGTTTATTTATTTATTTATTATTAATTATTTCATTAATAATAGAATTGATTAATAATGTACTACAAAAATATATACAGTACATCTGAATCTTGTAACCGACGTGTTCAGCTGATCCGGCACTAATCTTGGGTTTTAAAATGTTTACGTGCTCTCATATTTCACTGTCGTGAAATAGTAGTCCCCATACTTTCATGCGCTTGCAAATGATCATCAAGTAGACAAGTAGCA